AACCCGCACACAAGGAATTAAAATTTTAATGACACATTTTTCATAATGTAATTTTTTATTATTGGTTGAACACGATTTTTAGATTTTTTGGATACATAATATAAAACACCTCTTTTCTAATTTTGCTTTTTTCTTATTCCACTTTAAATAAAATAGAAAAACAGATGGTACTTCCAAAGTTAACAAGTCAAAAAACCTCGAGGAAAAGAATATATCCGCTTTTCTTTGAAACAGTATTTATCGACGGAGAAATACAATTGCGAAAAGATTATACCATTAAATGCATACCATCTGTTACATTTTGTACTTTAGATTGGTATCTCAACTGCTTATACCATTTTATTGACAGATGTTCACAATCAAAGTGAAATTTTTCGAATTTTTGATAAAATTTCAGATACCAAACGTGTTTTTTGTAAAATCAAACCACTTGGTAGCTAAATTGCATGATATTTCAATAATGTATTAAGAATTAATCTTATAGATTACTCAGCAAACATATTAGAAAACATTTTAAATACTAATAACATGAAATAAGAATTTTTATTAATTTGCTTGGATAGACAATCCTTGGAACAGCCGGTTAAAACTTCGATATTTTACAATACCGGTTCCTGTTTATCTCCTGTTTTTAATTAGTTTTGGAAGTAGTGTAAATAATACCAGTAAACAAATGTTTGATCGAATGTTAGTTAATTTTTTATGGCGTTTCAAATAATTTTTCGAAGAAATAATAACTGGTTGACATTGTTTTAACGATTTTTTAGTGATAATGTATTTCACTTCGTTTTTTCTTATTCTACTTCGTCTAAATTAGTGAAACATTGATAAAAAAGTAAATAAAAAATCGTTTTCTACTACATACTTAGTTTATAGTGAAAAAAATTGATTGTCAATTATGTATTTAGATACCTATACTGTCTCTAAATTAGCTGAAATACTACAGGTATTAATAAAGCCATTATTTTGTGATACTGTAATTTGCTGTTACACTTACACAGGGTGTGTCAGAACTCGCGCCTCAGAGAAAAATTTCATGTAAGATAAAATACCAGGAACATAAAAAAATATTTGAAAAATTCTATCTGGCAAAAGTTTTGCCATTTGACATTTTTTGTGTTTATGAAATGATACTAATGATCTTGTACATGTTTTTTTTTTATAATTATTTAGTAAAGATAGCAACTACTAAAAGCCACAAATAACATTAAACAGTTTCAATTTAGGATACAGCTTCCTTGTTTCCTCTTCTAATAGTCTGTAGCAAACAAACTTGGAAAATTATTTTTCCAACTGAAATAAATAGAGTCAAAGTCCAAAATTTAAACTCTCATAACTTAGAAATTTTTATAGAGAGATTTTTTTTAAGATTTTTTCCATGTTCCTGGTATCCTACCTTACATACCATTTTTCTCTGGGGAGCGCACACAAAAAAATTATGTTCATAATATTAACGAATGGTGTTAATTGACCGAACTTTCATTGAGACAATGAAAAATTTTGTTAATACAATGAATTTTTACTAGTGCTTGTTCATTAATTAATAATCAACTTCATTATGACAAAGAATTATCTTTCTTTATTGCAACGAAATTTTCTTTCATTGCAACAATGAAAATTCATTGTTTTAACTAACATTTTTATTAGAAATATGAAAATTGTTCATTATATAAACGAATAATATTCATACGTTATTTTTATTGTACCAATGTATTAAATTATGAATCGATGATCTATATTAATTGTTCTAACGTGCAGTGTTTGTTGTTGTAACAATCACATTCATAGTTTAATAACAACACATACTGTTTAGTGCACCAATGAACTAACTTCTTAAAAATCTATTCATTGGCCCAATAAATTGTTTCTTGTGTTAATGTATAATTTGTTGTGGAAATGTATAAGCTTAATTAATATTATAAAATTTCATCGTTGTAGGTACTCATGAACACTGTTCGTTGTATGTACGTATCAAATTGTTAATATCAATAAATCGTTCTTTGCTTTAACGTATTGGGATTCATTGTACTAATGTATATTTTTTAATAAAACGTAAAATGGTTGATCAAACTTCTCTTTTAGCGGAACTTTGGAAGTTTCTTGGAACATTTTTTCTTCAACTACACAAGTGCACAGTGCAGTGTTAAAATATTGCTTAAACCTACTTATTTAAATTAAGTTAAATTTGTCAACGGTAAGTACTTTAAAATTATTATTATTATAAAAAAAAAAATTGGGCATTGACCATTTTCCACGTGGCCAAGGAGGCTGATCATTAGGGCCAATTTACTTACACAATGGGACGCATGTTCTTCAAAAATCCTACATTTTTTTTTGGTTGATCTTATGTTAGCGGAAAACAATTTTCCTCAAAGTAAATAAATATCTATTAAATTTTCAAAATACTAATTAATGTTTTTTTTTACCAGATTCTCGCGAAGCTATGGTTTTATGGGCGCTCCATGGCTACTTTGTGCCAACTAGTAAATTCGTCCACAAAGATGGAAATGGAAAAATGAAAACGACAAAATTTACTATTAAAGACTCTCAAGAGGCTTTCCTGTTTGTGGGTGAATCAGCACAAGTAGTTGAAGATCATTTAGAACACTTAAGTAGAAGAAAAAAAAAATACAACCTTTCGTTTATTGCATAGGTGCGGGCATAGAATCAATTGAAGAGGTTTACGTTTTTTTTGACAACATTCGTAACAAATTTTTTAATTTTATATGAGCATTTGATATTTGTTTCAAAATTATTTACTTGTTTAATTTAGATTTTCCACAAGAAGCGATAATGTTTTATAGTTTTATGGATTTTTTTTTATAAAATGCCACCTAACAAAATTTTTCAAAAATTTGTATTTTGGCTGAATATTTAGTCTCAGAAATAATTTTTTGTGTTGTGTTATTATTTATTATAGTTTTAGTTTATAGTTTTGTGCACATACATACCAGGTGAATAAAAAGTATGGAACCAAGCGTTTTTTTCGTAAACTAAGCACTTTACGAAAAAAATAATTAGTGTGGCGTAAAGTACAATTAAAATGCGACCATTTATTAAGAATAACATGCTTCGAAATTTCTTTTAGTTTTCGAGTTCTGAGAATTTTTTTTTTAAATGACCTTTAATTAAACAAAATTGTTTTTTAGTCAGTACTTTTTTCTCTTTTTTCACTTCGGTTCGGAAAATCTTCGTGATGAGCTCGGAACGCAACTTTAACAATTAATTTAAAAAAAAGTACTGGCTAAAAAACAATTTTATTTAGCAAGAAGTCATTTTAGATAATAATCTTTAATTAAAAAAATTACCATGGTGGGTTGCCATAAAAAAAAAATTCTAGAACTCGAAAACTAAAAGAAATTTCGAAAAATGTTATTCTTAATAAATGGTCACATTTTAATTGTACTTTAGGCTACACTAATTATTATTTTCGTAAAGTGCTTAGTTTACGGAAAAAACGCTTGGTACCATACTTTTTATTCACCTGGTATATATGACTAAAGAATTTTATAAACTTTTTTATTTTGTTTTTTAAATATAGAAAAAAACTAGTAGTAGTTGTTTAATTTCTAATAACAAGACATATTAACAATAAATAATATTCTTGAATACAACGAATATTTTTATTATGCCAATGAATCTATTCATTATTACAGTTACCATTTTTCGTTTTATTAATAAAAAATGTTCATTAAGACAATGAATCACAAAACGTTAAAGGAAAGAACGATTTATTAATATTGATAATTTATTATATGTATTTACAACGAACAGTGTTCATGAATACAACGAATAAATTTATTAAGCCAACGAATTTATTTAATAATATTAACTAAATCTATACATTTCGACAATAAATTATACTACGTTACGGGAAAGAACAATTCTTGATATAACGAACCAATTTTAAAGAATTTAGTTCATTGGCGCAACGAATAAATTATCGTTTGATAAACCTGTACATTGATCAATGAACACTTGTTTATTGTAACAACGAAGTCGTTCGTTGGACCAATTTTAGTGTACCTTTTCATTAATTCAACGTTTTTTTAAATTATATTTATGTACTTTTTGGTTGTGTGCGAGATCTGGCGCTCTTGTATATATTTATATACATACATAGGGTAAGTCCGGAGGAGATGGACCACATTTTGAAAAATCTACTGTAAAATTATGATCTTTATTTCAATTCAAACCACGAATGTTTTTCCTTATAGCATGAACTTTACAACTTATATAAAAGTAACAAAACAAAAAACACACTTTTAAATACATAAAAAATGCATTGGCAAATAACAGAGATATTAGACTTGAAAATCCTACGTGGATCCTTGTATAATTTGTGTTAAAGGTACATTATGTTAGTATGTTTTTGTATAAATATATGTAATAAGTTTAAACTTGGCACCAACTTAGACAGACAATTGTATAGATGCAAGATACTAGATTTTTTTGGATGAAATTTTTCCGTAAAATACTTATAATTTTGTATTGGGCAAGCGGTCTCTTTCATTAACTTATAACATAAAAATTTTGCTATGAGAGATGGAGCCCTAGAAGGCTCTAAAGTCAAAAGTCTATCCCGCTGGTCTGTCTCTGTCTTATTTTTCAACAAAAAAGCCTTATCCTTGTTAGTAGTAGTATTACATATTTGTTTTATTATTTTCAAAATGCGTTTACTTAATTTTAGTAGCTGTAGCCTAATAGTATGTTTTTTGTGGCTTCTCTTATCAAATCAAACCACCAAATTTCGGAAGTGTCATATCCCTCCATCCTGGGGGCAATTTTCACATCCAACAGGTAAAACGAAGAATAGGTAAACACAGGTAAGCTAAGATAGGGTGTCACATCTGTCCGCGCCGGCTGCAAAGGCACCAGGCGTGTGGCACCGATCTGATTGGTTCACGGCTCGTGGCCGCAGCTGTTTTCTCCCCACTCTTCTCCAATTCTTACACATTTCAAGCTATAAGCTCTGAAAATTATTTCAGTCCTTCTGGAGTCCTCGGAAGGAGTGGTGTTACAAATCTTCTTCAATTTCGCGTTCATTTCTTACAAATTTTTTTGGTCTAGTCTTTGGTGTTTCTTGGTGTAATGGAACTCAGTGTTAGTGAATAGAAACTTTTCGTGATCGTGTTATCTTGATGGGGATATCTGAAAATAAAACTTGCAACTGCAAAGCCGATAAGGTCAAAGGGGACGATATCTTTTCACCTTTGAAAGGAAAAATGAAGGTCCTTAAGAAAATCAAAAGGCGGATGGGATTAGGTAATTCCTTATAACTGTATTCACGAAATTTCGCATGTTCAAGTAGGTTTTTTTTAACGGGAACACAATGCGTACGGGAAACGGAAGTCTATTATGCCGCCCCCTTATCTTTACGATGATAATAAGTTATGACCCACGGAATTTTCATGCACTACACGAATCTGAACCACTCTATTTATCATCGTAATCTTAAAGCTTGAACAGATTATTTCAGTTATCAATGGTTTTACTGATTTGTTTGGTAGCATGGAACGTTTTTCTTGCAAACGAGGGAAAAAGATCAATAGATTTATTGTGTGGCTTCTCCACAAGCTAGAAGATTATTTCAAATTACATATTCTGAAACCGACAGGAAATGGAGGAGTTTGAGTCGGAAACAATTAACAAATATGTATGTTATTATATTTCGCAATTATTGTGTGAGTAACTCGTTACAGTTATTTCTTAGTAAAAAGCGAAAGCAAATAACTTATTATGCAAGTCATATTGTTACTCTTCATTTTTGCCTTCTGTGACAATAGCAGTCTTCATCATCTTGATTTGTCCTTGTTTTTAACAAAACAGCGTTTATGATTCTTACAGTCCTCTGTTAGAGAAAGATTACCAGTCAAGTATCATTATTCAGACAAAGAAAGAAAATAACAGGCCAATCCAAGCTTCGGTGTTATTTAGATTTGACAAATTCATTTGAGAGGAAACTTTACGCCCTCGAGTATTAGTTTTTGCCTCTTTTAAATTAATAAAAGATTCATTTTAATTTAGATTTCTCATTATTTTATCATATTTTTAAGGTCATAGAATTTGCACTTACTTTTTTTGTGTCGTTCTTGAACTAATGAATCAGGTTGAAGTTTAGGAGTCCTACAATCAATCTGTTTTAAGAAATAAAGTCTTTTCAAATAAACTTGTAAAATTTAAAAAAACGGGCATAGTTTTTCCAATGATAGTTTAGACTTTTTCAACACATTAAATTCGGAATAAATCATCATTAAGAAGTGAATTTGTGTAGGCCCAATATTCTAATGTAAAATTACGCGAAAAACAATTCCTTTGTATTTATTGTTGCTATTTTTTTAAGAAGAACCTATTTAAAATCCGGATTTATTTATCGCTGAAACTTTTGTGCCACAGTTATGTATTATTCATCCAATTTTGTATTTTCTGTGTTTTGGGTAGTGTCTGTTCTTGTTCTTCAAACAATAAAACTTCTCATTTTTAATTATTTTTTCCGGCATCTGCTCTTTGATCTTTTTACGTTCCATTATCATTTCCTTTTAAACGTTGTTTTGTTGAAGCTCTTGATTAACATTTGTCTTCTTAACTCCATATTGTAATTTAAAAATACTCCACACACTATGAAATGAAAATGAAATGAGGATGTAAAGGTCAGAAAGTCGTAAAATAAGTGAAATGTCAAAACTTGTATATTAAAATGTGTAATATAAAGGTTACTGAATATTAGATTGCTGAAAGTCGATATCCATTTGATAGAATCTAATCTGTTCGTTAAAAAAATAAATGGCAAAATCTTTAAAGGTTGTTTGGGAGCTTTGAACCTGGCAGCTCGTAAATGTTTTTCAAAAATTACATTAAAAAGAAGTATGGTTATAATAGTGATGATAAAAAAGCAGTCTCTTGCTGATTACATAAATGGTAATATTTACGGTGTTAATTCCATCAAGTTGATAAATGACGCTAATTCGAATATGATTGGCGGTCAGTGTCTCGGAACGGCTTAATGAGCACTTTGAAGAGCCGAAGATGACAGAAAACGTTTAGTGAGGATCTTGGGAAAAAGTGAACGCTTTTAAAAGATTCAATCCCAGCCAACACATCTAATAAAATTAATGAATCCGAGTCGAATGCGTGTTACACAAAACTTGTACGAATCTCGCTCAGTAATTGATAGTTTCTTAAATATGAGCCTCATAAGAGTTAATATCGCTTGCATTCCGCCGACGTTACCTAAATGTTAACTACACGAACACGACTCTTCGGTTCCCACGGTACAGTAGCTCTCAAGACTTTCTATATCGTCGGTTATTGAGGTATCTTCAACGCTTGGGTTCCGTGTTAGCTTTGTCTGATTCAGTGGCTCATCTTCACCAAAGAGAGAGATGAAGAAACTAGACTTACACGTTCGCCTCTCCATTACTTGGAATAATATTTGTTTATTATTTGTCAAGAATGTTAACTCTGTCTCAAAATCAACACCAGAGGAATCGCCGATAATTTGACTTGACTGGGTTGGGAGAAAGAACTGACAAATTTTCCCATGATACTTAATGACGATAATTTCCAAACCAAACCGGCGATTTAGCAAATTTACCTGTGAACTATTGACCCACTCGTCGGATTTAAACGAAGATGAAAGTCGGTTCAAACCTTCAAAATTCCGTTTCTTCATACGAGCACATGCCCTTGCACCCATTGCAGCCGTTACAAAATCCACCCTCCTTTCTATGCTTGGCTGGCTATTCATGAACCAACATTGTATACACAACTATTGAATGATAGTCCTCAATATCTTTTGATTATCAAACAATTTATGACACCTTCCTGTTCTACTTTTCTTTTGCTGATTATTTGTAATTATGATCCAGCAGACCAGAGACTATTTTTGGTCCAAAGTCATGAGTCAGGCCAAATTCAACACAAATATTTTGGAATTTTCGCACAGTTTATTTAAATGTCAATCGATGCAACTGTGTTGGGTCGGAACCACTTGAAATATTCTTGGCGCATCGTTAATTCCAGTAATAGAGGAAGTGGAGAAATTTCGTTAACCCCCTCGAAAACACGTGTCACACATCGATAAATACACGTGTCGCATATTTGAGACACGTGCTAGGTGATTAATTAGTCAGTTTGCTGAAGATTTGCTGGCTCTAGGTAAAATCTTGGCAGGTGTACAAGTATTGATCTATTTCTGGTTCAAATATAAATTTCGTAGCACTCAATATTGATCGTCTACAAGTAAATTTACATCAAAGAAATGTTGCATATTTTCAGAGATCGTCAGTAAAGTAAACATGGGCTTTTACGTAATTTGGCTAAATTCAAATTTAATTCGGAATCGATCTTTTTATATAACAGAGCCATCAATAATGTCAAATCCCCAAAAAACCTTTCCTTTTGATTTCGCACTAACTAAATCGAGGTCGACAACCTCAACACTGCATTTTACAGTCTAATAAAATAGAAACGTAGCAATGAAACCACAGAACTTGAATCATCGTTTTTAAAATTGTGCACAATGTGGACAAAACGACAGTGCAATGACTTTGTAACAGGTGTGCCCATAATACATTTTTTCATTTCTCTAATCAAATTTAATTTAAATATTTAATGCTTTTTCTATTAACTAGGAGATGAGCTCAGTATGTGGTCTAGTCACTAGGCTGCAATAAATAGTACAACGAATAAACGCTAGACATTTCCTTGGGGTAAAGTGGGATGGGGTCCTAGACAAGCTTCGTGGGGCATGTGTGAATGCCTCACGGGACGCTGCTTCAACAGCTGGCATTCCCTCAGGTCCCCGGCCTTAAGAAACAACCACAATGCTATCAAAGTTGGTGCATTTAATGTAGTGGTTCTATTTTCGTCGGTTTTAGTGACTTTAACTCTTTAAATATTTGGACAATTGCGAAAATAAATCAACATTGTGGAAGAGCTGTTAAGATTTTGTTTGTTTGAGAATGATTCTTTGTTTCACGACATTCCAAATTTACCAAGTAAACATTAATTAACTTGTCTGGAAAGTGGGTGACTTCTCCAAACAAAGCCACGAATTGCAGAAGCTGTGCATTTGCATGATATGACTAAGTTGATTTATACGTTGCAGTAGCCACTAATTGTGTATTTACGTTGATGAGGTGTGCTGGTTGTTTCTCTCCGGTTGAATTTCCGGTCTCTTCATATCCTCCGGTTCTCCGGGCCGCTGGAGTCGTTGAGACCTCGCACGCACTGTCAAATCACTGCGCCTTGTCATTACCACGATTGGCTGCCCATCCCTAACTCTCATCCACCGTAAACACTCATTTATATATCCAGTTTAACAAAAGCCAACGATTATTATCTCTCATCTTCTCTTCCATTGATTAAGCACCGAGTCTGGTCACAACCTTGAAGCTTAATTAAGTTATTGTCGTCAATATTCGACGGAATTAAAGGTCATTCGGACCGAGTCCGACTCTGTATTCGAAATGCCCGAGATTGTTCACGATGATGAAAAAAATTGCAGCGATCTTTCTCACGACTCAACAATGGCGACGACCGCCGAGTCCCGTTTCGGAAATAAATACCGTAAAGTTTTCTCGAAACGAAATTGTCGCGCTTAATTAAATTCGTATTTCCGATTATTGCACTTTTTACACCGGATGTTATTTACAGATGGTGGATTAAGGTTTCTTTACAGGATGGGGTGCTACCGGATGAACTTCCGATGCCCTCAGGTAATTTTTCTAACCGTCACGGTTTTGAATCGACGGAAATTTTACTCCGAGTCCTTCACTGTCGTTCATTCAACACTTCCATTCATTCTCTTTGGTTAACTACTGTGACGTATGGATTGTTTTTCACAAACTTACCAACCAGAAATTTCAATATCTCGCCTAAATACCATCTTTATCTCGCAAATCACCAAACCACTAATTTTAATTTAATTACAGAAATTTTTTACTCAACATGGAAAAATTGAATTTATTAGAGCGGATATTAAAACGCCGAGACGGATATCAGATACCGACTTCAAACTAGAATCTTATCGCTTTACATAATTAAATTTAATCGTGAGAACGTTACCTTAAAGCTTTACCAAGGAATTATAATAATCAATCGGAGCTTATAATCTCATCAAACTACAAAATTATTAACACTACAAAGTTTAAATTATTTATGCAACATTTTCTTTGAATGACAGATTGAAGCACGTATCATAAATAACAATAAGAACTAAGAAAATTGCCATCTTGAGTAGAAAATGTACACATTTTTGAAAATGTTTCAGTAACAGTTGAATAAAATAGCCAACAAGAAAATTTATTCCATTTGTCAAAAAACACGAATGTGTATGTGTTTGGAAAAGATAGCAAAACAGTAAAATCAGGTCCAACTCATTTCAAATTCTTTTAAATAAAATAATTGTTTATTAATTTTAACAAGTGCCATTTCTAAGTCTTCACAATGAACATAATAATATAATAATAAATATTTTTTGATCTTTTATTTTTTCAGAGAAATAGTCTTAGAAATTGATAATACTAATTCAAGATAATCTTGAATTAATAATTAATGTCAGCAAATATCTTGTGCGAAAAGTGTGATATTTCTTGAAACTGTTTGCGTAATAGAAAGTTTGTTGATATTTTTTTGCAATAAGTATATACTAACATTAAAGATTGCAACTAACAGATAAAAATCGGATAAAAACCAAAATTATAATCCAAATAGTGAGAAATATCGCTCAGCTTTGAAAGAGCTCTACCAAACCAAAACCTCAAAACTATGTCAGAGAGAAGAGTTGTTTCAAATTTGAGCAAATAAGGCTAAAAGCGCGATTTGATTGAAATTTGATCGTTTGTTGTAAACGGAGCGTGGAAACGTCACAAAATAGAAAAATGCGATGGCTCGGTCGCATTAAGGCCAAGGAGAAAATGTCCATTTCCGTGCGATTAAGTTGAATAAAAATCGAAAGAAATTGCTATGGCGGCGCCTGAAATAACGTTATCTGTGCGTTCTCCACGAATAATTTCCTCCTTCATACGCATCACGACCGAGTCTCGAGATGAGAAGAGAGACCACCTCGTTTCTTATTGGTCCAGGTATAGCGTGGGAACTTCGCATCACACAAAGAAATTTAAAGATTTATCAAGCTGTCTGGTCAACACGGAAACTGCTCTTGTGCAGGTTTATAAAAAAGTTTACACGTCTGATAGCAAGTTATAATTAAAACATCGTTAAAATAACTACACAAGAATTTTTATATGGTGCCAGTGTCGAGAGGGATTTGAGAGGGTATTTCATTATGGTCGGCCTTAGGGGACTATTTTTGAATAGCAGCATGGAAATGCGAACACTTGACTGAAACCCCTCAGTGGTATTACTCACGCAAATGCACAAACATACACCCTCGTAGTCTTGCGTCATATGCCCGATCCTCTTTTTATCCCAAAGATTATCAAGGGAATTATTGCGAAATGAAGTTGTTAGGGGTCGAAATGTATTTATTTCGTCAAGGAAAAATTCAAGCGACAAAAGTAATTCGATACGGTCCTCCAACCCTCCGGATCTAAGCTCCACGCTCTTGCGCACGTGTCTTATGTAAACGTTTCCGGTATGTAACCGGATGAGATAGTCCTCGACTTGTATCATTGTTATACCTATTTGCATAATAACGTACAAAAATTTGCTATTTTACCTTGTTTGATTTGATTTTTTCCCCGAAAATTATGTCTTCGGAAGTTGACAAACCGGAAATTCGGGGCCGTAAACCCCTGTTTCAAAGACAGATGTGTTCCTCCCCTAAGGACGCCATATTGCAGATATACCTACGACACCTGGATAAAACTTGCGGCTGGGTACTTAACAATTCTCTATTTCTGGCGAATTTCCTTGTCCCAGATGGTACACACATGGCGTCTCGTACTAAATAAGCTTTTTCTTTTGTTACAGCTTCAAGGTCTGGATCTAATGGAGGTGGAACTAACAATTTACCCCCATTGCTATTCCACAATGTCCACGGGGAAAATATCCGAATTTCGAGGGACGGAACAATCGCGAGACGAGTGGAGAGTTTTTGCAAAGGCATCGCTTTCAGTTCACGGCCAGTCAAAGTCAACGAAAAAGTAAATAATCACACTTATATTGTCACTTGACAATTATTAATTGATGAATTTTTATAGATCTGTATCAAGTTTTTGGAAATTTCGAATAATTGGAGCGGCGTTATTCGGTTCGGATTCACTTTTAACGATCCGAGTAGTTTACGGTATGGACTTCCAAAATATGCTTGTCCGGACCTGACCAACAAGCCTGGTTACTGGGCTAAAGCCCTCCCTGAACGCTTCTGTAGTCAAAACACTGTTTTATTCTACTACGTCACTTCGACTGGTGACGTCCATTTTGGAATCAACGGTGAAGAAAAAGGGATTTTTTTCAGTGGTGTTGAAACGAGGGGTCCACTTTGGGCCCTGATCGATGTTTATGGTAACTCAACCGCGATCGAATTTGTTGATATTCGCCACCAGTTGAACAATTCTCGACGAAATATTGCATCGAATAGTTGCGAAAACCCGCCCGAAGATGTTGATCGTATCATTTATCGGGTGGAACAAATACATATCCAACAGAGGGACAATGAGGACTTATCTCTGCCACTCTTACGATATCAACCTTCTCAACTTAATTTCAATCCTATGATGTTGCACAGGACTCGAGGCCGCAATGTCCGATTCGGAAGTACGCGCAACAATGCGTATAGAACTGACACCGAGTTCTGTCAAGGCTACGTTTTCACAGCCAGGCCTTTACAATTGGGTGAACGTGTAGTGGTACAAATCCTAGCCACTGAACCCATGTTCCAAGGCTGTTTAGGTCTAGGCTTAACCTCGTGTGACCCTGCGACCTTACAATCGGGCGATCTCCCCGATGACTCCAATTTTCTTCTCGACCGGCCGGAATACTGGGTCCTCAGTCGCGATTTCGCTCGCAATTTAAACAAAGGCGACGAAATCAGTTATTGTATTTCACCATCCGGTGAAGTGCAAATCAGTCGCAACGGAGATAACCCTCTTGTGGTCATCCACGTCGATCAAACTCTCCGTTTATGGGCATTTTTCGACATTTACGGGTCCACGCAAAGAATCCGAGTCCTGAGTAGTCCGGCTCCAGTCTCCCCAGTCCGGAATTTCGAACGCAGGATAATCTCTCCCTCGGCCACCGAATCCATGAACAGCATTAATAGCCAGTCGGAAATTCGACGAAATTCAGTCATGCAATCGAATTCGAGATTGTGTTGTGTGGCGCCGGCCGATATTCAGGTCCAACCGGCAACGAACGGAGGGGCTGTCTTATCAGTCATCTTACCACCAGCTCACGCCAACTTCCTCAATCAGCAAACACAAACGGTTCATGTGAACCACCAAAATTCAGTTCACACTCCCAATGGACACGGACCTCATCCTAGTCAACATGGTGTTAGTTACGTGGGGCCCACCATTCCGATCTCGCCGGTTGGTAACACTGTCGTGGCGCCGGTGCCCAATCTGCCGCCGACGGGGACCATGATCTCCACTTGTAGCAGTACTTATGTCGAGGTAAGAGTTTTACTAATGTATGTTACAAATCGCTGTTGACGCTCAAGGTCAAACACACAGCATTTTGGAACAAACATTAATGTATTCTAATAATTTTTTTGTTGTTACAGCCGATCTCCGATTCGAGTTCGTACTCGACTCCGCTCGGATGGGCCGAACAGAACGGGGCGACGGTGGGCACCGGTACCGAATGTACGATATGCTACGAAAACTCAATCGATGCCGTCCTTTATATGTGCGGGCATATGTGCATGTGTTACGAATGTGCGCTGCAACAATGGCGGGGCAAAGGTGGAGGGCACTGCCCTTTGTGCAGGGCCGTAATTAGGGACGTGATTCGTACATATAAATCATAGACGCTGTCTGGTTTTAGTATTACTGCTAGTGAATAGCTCAAGAAGAGAGAATATATTTTCATCGTTTTTTCCAAGTTACTAAATGAAACCTAAGTTATTATAAGTGCTTCCATTTAAGACAACTGCCTAAAACCAGAGTTTTAAGTGCGGATGGTAAAAAGACTGAAACTCGTTGATTGGTGGAATACTATTTAATATATTTGTCCTGTCCATTTGTTAATGTGTTTATAACGTTTAGTTGTTTTATTCATATGGCTATTTTTAGTTTATAATAAGACCAAAGAGAGCAGTAAATTAGTCACAACTGCTGGATCATTTGTAGGTTCGCGGAGAGTGAACGTAGTCAGCTGCCGATGCAGTTTAAACTTATTTATTTATTTTTATCAGACACAAAATTAATCTTATTATTTATAATGCTCTTACAAAACACTAAATGTTAAAGATTTATTTGACTATTCTCAGCCACAACTTTTGTATCCCGACTTATTGTTGATGTTTTTGAGGCATTTTCTGAGTGTATAACAAGTGATAAACATTCCTATGAAGAAGAATTAAATACTTTACTGGCCAGTTCTTATTTTTAAATCAGGCATTCTTAAATGACTCCATTATCCGAAAACTGTTAATCTTCATTACCTGAAATTAGATTGACAGTTTTGACAATGGATCTTAACTTTTGTATAATAGTATTTCTAGTCATAAGAATGTACTGACTTAGTTCAACATGTTAGTTCAATTATTATACTATTATTCTTAAATAAAATGTTATCTATTACTAATTTTAAACAATATTTTATTCATTACCCTTTAAAAAAAATGTTGAATCATCGGTCTACATCGCCAAACACGATATCCAATGTCGCTGAAAGAAAAAAGTGTTTATGCGACATATTTCGGATGTGACTCACCAAGAATTGCAACGACATCGGCCAAAAAGTGGTTTTTTCCCATACGATTAATTCCGGAGAGATGTATAAAACTTGGAGTTCGTATTTTGCAACGATACGGTAGCGAACTGCCATCAGAAACCAAGTAGACACCAAATTCTCCTTTTGGATGCTCTATAGAAGTATATGTAGACCCCGGTGGTACATGAAACCCTTGACTAAATATCTTAAAATGATGAATAACAGCTTCCATAGATGACTGATGGTAAAAACTCGTAATTACATCGTTTATCGTGTGATTAATTTACCTTCATTTCTCGTCTGTTGGGAGGCGAAATTTTATGATCGTCCAATTTAACTTCTCCTGGTGGCATTTGATTGATAACTTGCTCTACGATACGAACCGATTGACGCATTTCTTCTAATCTCACCTTGAATCTAAGAGCATTAATTTGAATAATTCCCACTGTATGACTTCATTCAAAAAAACAATGAAAATAAACTACTCATTGTGAATTTTTTGCAAGGGCCTGAAAATCACTTCAAAATTTGTTCACACGTTAATCTAAATTGGAATATCACATGATATCTCTTGCGTAAAAGTTTTTTCTAATTTGAGAAAAATATTTAAGATCGATGTTGTAACAACCTGTCGTAGATGTCTCCATTAGAGCCAACAGGGACATCAAATTCTAATTCGTCGTAAATCTCGTAAGGCTTATTCTTGCGCAAATCCCATTTTATTCCAGACGCTCTCAACATACATCCGCTACAATTTCATCACATTTAAAATTCGTCTCCTTTCACGCTTTGTATTATTACGAAAATCCCGAATTGAGAGCATCTTCTGCCGGGACGCATCCGATATTTTGTGTTCGTGCAATAAAAAGCCTATTATCGGTTACCAAATCCTCGACTTCATCTATCCTTTCACCGAACTTGGATACAAGATTGTGAATATCATGCAAAAGTCCAATCGGCATGTCCTTATTTAAATGATTTGATTTTTTCAACAGTTTTAGTAAATATATGAATAAACCTGGTTGACGCCCCCAATGCGGTAATAATTAGCATGCAGCCGGGCCCCACACACCCTTTCGTAAATCTCCATCAATTTCTCTCGCTCCTCAAACAGCCAGAATAGTGGAGTAATTCCCCCCACGTCTAAAATTAGAAAAGACGTGGCTGCCATGTGGTTCATTAAACGCGTTATTTCATCAAACAGGACTCTAATAAATTTCGCCCTCCTTGGAATGTCAATATTGAGCAATTTTTCAGCAGCTAGACAAAATGCGTGTTCGCTGCACATGGGCGAGACGTAGTCCAAGCGGTCAAAATACGGAATAGCCTGGTTGTAGGTTTTATACTCAATGAGTTTTTCGGTACCTCGATGGAGGAGTCCGATATGGGGGTCGAGATGACGAACAATCTAAAATTATTAATTTAGAAAGGAATTTGTTGGGGATAGGACCGACTTCGCCGTCCAACTCTGTTATCATTCTGAGACATCCGTGAGCTGCCGGGTGGCAGGGACCAAAATTGATAATCATGTTGGTGACTTTACGTTCCAGAGGGAGTCGTTTTGCGTTGAAAGGGGGTAGTTTAAGTTTAGAGGTGAGTTTGTCAGGGTACATGACGGGACCGTCAAACTGTTTCATGTACTCGGCATCGGGGTACCAAGCGTGATGTTTACCCCTTTTTATTGATAATTGAGGAAAGGTTTTGAATTTGAGCAAAATTCGAAGGGAGATGTTTGCCATTTTGACAAGAAATGACACTAATGACAAAATAAAAATATTTGAACACGACCCCTTCGCACACTTTGGTAAATAACGATCAAATAAAAAATAAACAGTAAAATCATAATTTATTGAATTTTTTTTTAAAGTGACAAATTTCCGAATAAAGTCCAAGGTACCCTCCACATTTGAATTTGTCCATTGTCAGTCCCGACTGCAACAATGTTGCTTCTAAAAATGAAAATTTGAATAACAATTTCAATCAATTTTTATACTAGTTACTTTGTTTTGTTTATCTCAATTTGAGTCATAATTTCCGATTTGACTTTTTCTTTGGTCGTATTTTCAATGGTCTTGCCTCTCAACAAATTAAAAATTTCAATAACACCGTTTTTACCACATCCACAAATGACTCTCTCTTCGTAAGGAACCCAAGAAACATCAAGTAAGGGTTGTTTCAAGAAAATTACTTGAGCCGGTTCTTCCTACAACTGCTTATTAGTTTTTCGTTAAATAATAACTTTAATTACTTGATCAATGACGTAAATTCTAATTTCCGAGTCAGACCCACTCGTCATAAACATTTCTTTTCGATTTGGTGAAAATTTAATCGAATTCACTTCACCTTTATGCTGCTCATAATATTTAAAAACAGAATCGAGAAGTGGTGCATCGTCTTTACTCCCTAAATAAGATAATTAACATTTAAGAATTAACATTTATAAACAAAAACCAATTACCTTGCAATTTTCGGGTACCAAGCAAACAGCACTGAACTACTAACCCTCCTTCAGCCCCAATCACAAAAATTTCGGGCGAATATTTGGAAAAATCAAAACAAGTAACTCCCCTTGTAACTTTTTTAACAGTATCTTCCTGACTTTCACTATGTTTCGGCATGAGTTGTGAACGAATTTGATGCCTGTAAAAAAATTAAATGATCAAAAGTTATAAAAAGTTCTTCCAGAATGGGCCCCGTTTTGTTATCACCGTAGTGACCCCAACATTTCCTGTGCTATGACCAACAATACAAGCCTGCCAGTCGTTCAGAGTTGCCTATCCTATGACAGCGTGGCTCGTATCTGACTGAGAAACCCAGCGGTACTTTCTACCACAGATCCGGGGACCTTCCACAGGGTGGGAGAGTTACGAGAACTCTGTAAGTTACCCCGTGAGTCAGGCTTGGAAGAACGGTTCAGTAACCTTCAAATACTCGTATATATGCTTACGCGCGGACGCTACGCAGTAGTGAGAAGTAATAAGTTGAGAAACGTCCCTTACGCACGTGGTATCACATATAATACAAAAATAAAAACAGCTTTGAATTAATTAGATGCTTTAGACACTATTTAATATAATAATTAACATTTGCAATTAAAAAATAAAATGGCGCAAAATTCAAATTTAAATCGTTTTAAGAATGTACCAACCTCTCTTTTACAATTAACGATGATTCATTAAGGCTAAAATTCCAAACAGATAAAAGACCATCTAGACCAGAAGATGCCAAAAGGACATTTTTGGTGGAATTTATATCAATTATCCACGATAATTGTGTAATACCATCCCCATGTCCATCAACTTTCGCTACAACTTGTTCTTCCTCTTTCTGTACGTTCCAAATTATGATACCACCTAGATAAATATTAAACTAGTAACATATATAGCACCCTAAATATTGTTTTGAGGTACCAGAAAATAATCCAGCTGCTATTATTGCTGGTAAAACTGAATGAAATTTAAGTTCAGTGACACAAGACTCTGTTGTTAATTTAATTTTTGGTGTTTCTGGTAAATTATCGTCGCGATCTAGTGAGTAAATTGCGACAATCCCCTCGTGATAACACCAGGAATTGTGTTTATAAGTACAAGAAACGGCCAAAGTTTGATTTGTAGAGTTCCAAGACAATGCAGAAACATGAGAGCCCTGAAATCAAATTACCAATAAATATCTTTCACATAAATTTGAAAAACAATACAATTTCTGCATCTTTGACCTGTGATGCCACATTTACAGTTTGCACAAGTCTACAATTAGCATCAGAAGAATCAGTTGATAACTTATATCCTTTGAAAGCCCTAGAGTTAACATTGTCATCAAGTTCTTTCTTTACTCTAGGATAAATCTTTTTCAACCATTCTGCAAGCTTTTCTTCATCTACTTGGACAGTAGAAGTCCCTTCTTGAGTCTCAGTTTGTACCTAAATCAGCATAATCTGATTTCATGTGAATAAAAGTTGAGTATTACTTGTGTGTCTTTCTTCTCCGATGGAGAGGTCTCCATTTCTACAGTTGAATAGTCAGAGGTTTGCGTAGACCCAACTGAAGATACTCTAAAATGAAGTATTTGTTAATTCAAAAATAATATAAATAAGCAACTACTTTTTGACCCTCCAACGGGATTCAAAACCAACACATTCATTATGCTTGACAGTAAACATTTTCTGATGTAAAAATAAAATAATCAATAAGGGGGCTCACTTTGTTTTGAATTTGTGCCCTCGGTTACTAGGCAACTATTCGATAACCAACATAACAAATTAAAATCGTTACCTGAAAATTGTCCCTATTTGTTTCGAAAATAAGAATTTTGTACCAATTCGCTTTAAATTATGTCAATACTTGAAGTGCTGCTGAATACGGGATAAATAAACCACAAATTATTTTATTTTGTATTAGTGTTATTTTCGACAAGTTTGGCACCCTTGCCACTGACAGTTGTTAAAAAAAGTGAGGTTATGAATTTGTTTATTTTTGATTTTAAACATTTTTTTAGAAAAATGTGGGGAACTACTTCTGAAAAAAGAAGAAAATATATTTGTGTTAATTGTGGTACTCCTATCAAGAGTTTATATAAAAAATACAGCGCCACTGTATTAAAATTAAGAGAATGTGTAACTATAAGTTCATTTCATAATGTCTCTTCACTAAAACATTTCTCATCAGGAATTTTGCCATAATGTTGCTGATAAATACTTAGAATATGATATTGTTATAATTGCTATTGATTTAGTACTTCTTCAAAGAACTGCATACCGGCATATCCTTTTCAATCTAGAATTTAAGGTACGTGTGATGGTCTTAAAACTTCATCTCTTTGAAAAGCAGTTGTAGAATTTTTGGAAATTGTCGGTTATCCTTTTATTGATGGAAGCATACTCAGAATTAATGAGGAATTCTCCACAACGGGCGGTAAAAAATGACGAAGAAGAAAAACTCTTTTTGAACGAATTTAATGAAATGACTGATTTTTTGTTTTACAAGCTTAGTTTCAGTGTTGCGTTAAGTAATAATTTGATTTGTTTTATTTCCAACACTTGAAGAAATATGTTTTTAGAAACTGCAACTTTCATGTCAGTATTACACTTTCTAACAAAAATTTACTGCAAAGTATTAGGCAAAAATGTAATAACGTTTATGATGATGTGGAAGACTTTGACTATTTCAAGTTTTGGAACATTCTTACTCTTACCATCTCTGATTTGGGACACTAGTGTTCAAGAAGTACATCTTGCTGTTGTCTCTCTATTTACAACAATGTCCCAATTATTGGCATACACAGGTATGTAAATGATAATTCTAAAAAATAATTTTTTCATTACATTATTTCAGTTGTGTGCAACTGTCCAAAGCTCTGGAGTATTACTGCAATATTCTGTGCTTACTATTGTAAAGTATTTTGTTTTGATATTTTCCAAATGATTGTTACGAGACTGACTTAAATAAATTTTGATCAAGCGTTTATCTTTCATTAAAATCATGACAAAAGATAACATAAATCCGCCGTTTGCAAACGGATATTGGGTCTGGGACGACGTTGCCAACGGCCTAGCTTTCATCAGGTAGAAAAGATTATTAAAAAAAAAACAGTTGTAACATTTTGAAATTAGTCGTGATGTCAAAGAAGCCACTCCAGGATTACCTGCAGCCGGAGCAGCGCAACCTGCCAAAAAGGACAAAATGGGTCAAATCAGGTTTAAAGACACTGTTGATAATTTAGGCTTGGTTAAACAATGTTTCTTAAAAAATAAATTCAATTAATCATAATAATTCAGGCCCAATTTCGGCGCATCTATCAGCGAAGAATCAAACCAACGGAGCCCCAAATCGTCACAATTCAAGACATCAAAGACGTGGCAATTTTCACAGCGGAGCGACAAGATTTAACTCCCGAATTTATAGACTTCATGCATACACAACGAATGGATGAATTTCTGCGCACTTTGGTCGTATATTTCCAATACTATTTCCAGGTTTGGGATAATTTAATTCTGCGACGTGAAGAAGCCAAACGCAAATTGCGACAACCTATTGTCACTGTTTTGGAAAACATAGTCCGAGATAATTTAGCCGACTTGCGTAGCATGGTTGCCCGCAACTACGGTTTCATATTAATGGGTCTCGAAGACACCTTCAAGTATTACCATATGGGCAACCGCAACAATGTTTCGCTTTCTGATAAAGATCGCCATTTGCACGAGTGTCTCTTAAGCATGGCTGCGAAAATCGTATGGATTGCTTTGCTACGTAAAAACTTCACTGTCATCGAAATTGAATTAAATCGGCTGTTCAGAACTGAAATTTTCAACACAATGTGTCGCATCAGACAGTCTACTTTCCAGACTAACGCTGAGGAGAATCGTGTTTTATTAGGCAAAGCCTTCACTCCTGAAAAGAAACTCAAACATCGGTCTCCTGCCGTCCAGGAGTTAATCTTCGACAACCATTGCTATAAAATGCTAGCCATTGGTCTCCTCCAAGTCGAACCGTTAGTACTGACACAATTTTCAATCAATTAAAATCAAATCCTCAAGAGTTGCAGAACGAATCGCGTATTTAGAAGCCGCCTACACCGCCCCTGAAGAAATTTTGTTCGATATTCAAGTCGGTGTAGGAATTTTGGGGCTTTCCAAAGACTACTTAAACCCGATTTTGATGCCAAAGGAAGGCATGGCCAAAAGAATTCACATTCCGCTGTTTAAAATGCCGGAAATGAAAATAAACGAGTTGGTAATTTTTCGGTTAAAAGTTGTTGTTTAAAACGGGTTGTAGATGGGATATAGTGACTGAGACTTTGCCAGAGGTGCCCCCTAAATGGACTGAAACGGAACAGGCGAGGAGTGCGAGGATAAGTCAAGGGAAAATGTGGCGGCGTTATGCAGCAGGGCTGCCAATGAAATTAACAGATGTGCTAAGTGCAAACATTGAATCAGCTTCTGGAAGTTATTTATTATCAGGATCACATGATGACGACGACAGGTGATTCCTAAGATAATTCAATAAATCATTTTCACTTAAAAATATCGTTTCATTTGTTTTTAAATTAGTAATTTCGTATAAAAATGGATTTTCAAGAATTTTTTTACCTAAAGCTACTATAAAGGGATAACCGTTTCTCTTTGCTTCTAACAATCGACGGCCTATTGTAAAATTCGTCCTGTCATCGATTAAAACGTTGTCTTTTAAATTACAAATTGTTTCAATTTTTTCATAGAGTGATTCAACTAAACCAGAATTTTGAATGTGTATTTCTTCCTTACTGCCGCTCTGAAAAAAATAGCTTACATAACTGTAACTGTAAAATTAGGTAAGTTATTACTTTAGGAGGTAAAATAATGACGCTAAAAGGAGATAAAATATCCGGCCATCTGATTTCTTGTTCACTTGACATGACTTCAATTGCCGCAGCCATAATCCGTGATAATCCTAATCCATAACTGCCCATTTGTAACACCTCAAGTTTGCCATTTTTACTTAGGAATGTGGCATTAAGCGGTTTTGAGTACTTTTCACCCAAAAGAAAAGTGTGGCCAACCTTGAAAAAGTAGGTATATTAAAGATTAATCAAAGTTTATGAATTTGTTACTTCTATCCCTAAATGGATCTCAACTGAATTATTTCCACAATTAGGGCATTTTTCCTCCCCCGATATTTCTGTGTTTGCAGAATAATTACATTTGGTGCAGGTTAAAATTTTGTCTTCACCGACATCTGCTTTGTACTGGTATTCATGAGACAATTCGCCCCCCATGTGCCCTGAACTACCCACCACTTAAACAATAATTATTTAAGTAAGTCTAGTATTATTAAATAATTAATGAAACCTTTGATAAAATCAATTCCAATTTTCCTGAAAATTTTATCATAACTTTTACAAATTTCATCATAAGTGTGTTTCGCTGTTTTGATGTCAGTATCAAATGAATACATATCTTTCATAAGAAACTGCTTTCCTCTCATTAAACCAAACCTCGGTTTCATTTCATCCCTATATTTACTAGTAATCTGATACAATTTTAAAGGTAACTGCTTATATGAAATAGGTGATAATGACGCAAGTAAATTACTCGCTGCTTCCTCATGTGTCTAGAAATGATTTTTAAGCAATACAAAATTAATATTCCGATAAAACTTTACCTACAGGGCTTAAAATGTAGCTCTGGTCATGCCTGTCTTTAATTTGAAAAAGTTCAGAGGAAACAGTTTCCAATCTGCCTGTAAACAATTAACTAAAATCAAGGGCATTTGTAAACTGATTTCAGTACCTGTCTTTTCCCACAATTTTGCGTTAGTTAGCGTGGGAAAAATAATTTTTTGCCCTCCAATTTTTTTCATTTCTTCATCAACCAAACTCGTTAATTTCTCCAACGACTTGACACCTAAAGGTAAAAAATGAAAACAACCCGGGCTTGCCTGTTTAATAATTCCAAGTTCTAGCATTAACTAAAATTTGAGAAATTACAAAACAATTGTTAGGTTAGGTCACACCGACTCGTTGACTCTTAGAAGTGATATCATGCCGTTTTACCTCAGCATTTTTTGGAACTACTGAAACCGGTTGAAAAAGCTTAGATAAACGATGTAAATTTTTTAAAACCATTGTTCGAAAAATTCAAAACTTTAATACTCAACAATGTAGTAGGGACTTTTCATTATTATGTAATGGTAGCTACGGTTGGTGGTCCTGTATTTGAATCATATGACTTCTGACACTTTTACATTGTAAATCGCTGCAAGCAGCATCGATTTTTACAATTTACTCGTTATTGTGTTGTGTTTTTGGTAAAATTAGGTGAAAATGGGTGCATCGGCTCTTCCTTTTATCGTATTCACCGTTCTCTGGGGTGGAGTTGGTATAGTGTTGCCCATAATTGTCCCTAAAGGGCCCAACCGAGGGTAAGGCGTTATCAAGAAAAATAGAAACACTCCGATAATTTGGGTGTTTTCTTTTATTTTAGGATTATTCAAGTAATTCTGATGCTAACCGGGGTGTGCTGTTGGTTGTTGTAAGTATTAAATTTGTTCCTTTATAATTCAACATTGAGAATCACATGACACTGATTAAAAAGGGTGTTAACTATGTAATCTGAGCTGTTTCTAGCCTTCATTTTAATTTTTGTGTTAAGAAATTGATTGTTTTGTAAATTTAAATTATTTTTATGCAACTCTTTGAAATTGCTTTCAAATTATGAAAATAATTTCAGCTGGTTGTGCTGCTATGTAGCCCAGATGAATCCTCTAATTGGGCCTAGACTAGACAAACATATTCTTCTGGTAATGGCAAAAGAATGGGTAGGTTCTTTGTACAAATATCATTAAATGTTTTTCAATAAACCTCTATTTTAGGGCAATCCACTCAAATAAACTTAAGAAATTGCATCATTCCACGTTTAATTTTTAAATCATTTATCTGTGTACATAAAAGTTAAATTTTACCCCTTTGTTAAGATATTATAATAGATGTAATTTATTAGTTACTGCTTCGCGAAGAAATAAATCGGTGTTTACTTGTAAAAAAGTTTTTTCCTTGAACCACAATCTAAGTAACCTAAGCTGATTGACAGTGACAATTTTTCCTTGACTAACATCTAAAAATGAGATTTTTATTAAGACCTCACACTCTAAATGTGTGCAAAATATTATATCGTTCGGTCCATTTGGATTGGTCCCCCAATTGGAAACTTAGTAAAAAAATCTGGGATAGATACAGGAATCTCCCTATCGCGAACTGTAAAGTGCAAGCGACTTACGTCTGGATTGACGGAACTGGTGAGAATTTGAGATCCAAAACAAGGACTATGGACTACACACCTAGCAGTCACAAGGACTGCCCCAATTTGAATTTCAACGGAAGTTTCACTTACCAAGCAGAACCGAAAAATTCTGACGTTATTTTATGCCCCGTGGCGATTTACAACGATCCCATAACCCAAGGGAATAATAAATTAGTCCTGTGTGAAACCTACGACACTGAAGGACGACCAACTCAATCGAACCATCGCCACCACTGTATGGAAACCTTGAACCAAGTCTGCGACAAAGAACCCATGTTTGGGTTCGAGCAAGAATTTATGATGATGGATGTCAATAGTAGACCATTTGGATGGCCGGTTATGTCAGGGGAGCCTTCACCCTTAGGTTCCTACTATTGTAGCGTGGGGGCTGATAGGGCATTCGGTCGTGAAGTGGCAGAATCACATTATCGCTGTCTTCTGTACTGCGGAGTGGACATCTCGGGGGTGAACCCTGAAGCAACTCCTTCGCAATGGGAATTCAAAACGGGACCCACAATTGGGATTAAAGCGGCCGATGATCTTTGGATCTCACGGTATTTGTTGCAACGAGTCGCTGAAGATTATGGGGTGGCCATTTCGTTTCACCCTAAATTGTTTAAAAATTGGAAAGGGTCAGGATGTCACACGAATTTCTCAACTAAAGAAATGAGAGAAGATGGTGGGTTTAAATATATCGAGGAAGCTGTTAAAAAATTAGAAAAGAGACACGAGGACCACATCAAGGTGTATGACCCACGAGGGGGCAAATACAACGCTTTGAGATTGACAGGACATGGAACCAGCAAAGTAGATAAATTCACATCCGGGGTTGCTGATAGTACAGCTAGTGTCAAAATTAGTAAAGCAGTAATGCAGAAGCAAAAAGGACATTTTGTCGATAGGAGACCAGCCGGTAATGCCGACCCGTATCAAGTTATGAATGCACTGGTGTGTACTCTTTGTTTAAACCCACATTAATAGAGTTAAACGCTAATATTGTACGTGCGGACCGCAGACTAAACAATAAATGTTTGAAAATTAAAGTTGTTTGTTTATTAACTGAATTAAAATATTTTCTGGCGCTTGAGACTGTGCAGACAGGCCGCAGACTAAACAACAATCTATTTGGAACAATGTTTTATTTTTCACCGTTTCATGAAATTTTCAAACAAATGATAATCCTTTATTAAACCAAACACTTTTTACTAAGGTAACCTTATTACGAATCAAATACCACTCGTCGGTTTTAACCACTTTAAATTTACTGGAAGTTTTTAATGGCAGGGAGCAAAAAACTTTGTTGTTCTTTTCTCCAATATAAACATTCAACTCCTTATGTAAAGCTGCTATTTTGGTAGCCTCTTGTGAATGTGAAACCAGCGTTAAAACCCCCTTAGGCAGCAATTTCGTTACAAACGTATAAAAATCGTTTGTGTCTTTTGCATCATTCAAAATAATAACAGAGTTGCCTTCAATCAGTGCTGCAATTATTAATTTTTTGTTGTGCATTTCTTTATCTTCAGAATTTTCAATAGCTATAACTCCACAAGGTTCTCGTATTGCAACAACATTGAAGCTTTTTTTCTTCTTGACAATATTTGATGACTGATTTGAGATGTAATCATGAATTATAGTTACCCAATTATTTATCCAATTCTCTGGTAGACCCCATGTTTTATTTTTTTGTATATCTTGAGCTATCGCTTGGATGTTTTTCATTCTTTCAAACTCATCAAGTTTAAACCACCCGTCTTGAGCCTTTTTTGCCTCATTTATAGCTTTTTCCATGCTTTCAGCATTTTGCACTTGTGAAGTGGTTTCGGTTTTCAAACTTTTTACATCAACGTACTCGTAAAACCCTTCATTTCCACCGAAGAAAGCATTTCCGCTGCTTTTGAAAGGTGAAAATGGAATATCGGCGGCGAATAATCCATGAGAATTGATCCAAACAGTCCCGACCTTTAAAATGAAAATTATTAGTTGATCAAAAATTCATTTGAGTGAATTTACTTTGAGTTTTCCGATTATTTCGTTGGCTAAACTTGTACTTTCCGTCCACACTGAAGCCGCTAAACCTTGTCTTGTGTTGTTTGACAATGCAGCGGCTTCATTAATCGTTCGAAAAGCGGTTAAAGTTACAATTGGGACTTTGATGGCATCCTCAACAATAACATTATTGTGGAAAACGTTTCCCCCGATGAATAGTGTTGGAATTGCGTTATTATTTGATTGGAAAACTTCAACACCATCATTTTTCGCCTTTTCAATAATTTTTACCAGTTTTTCCAGCGCATCATTATCAAGTGATGATGAAATATCTAAATTTTTCTTGTCGCTTTGCCCCACTCTTATTTCTTTAATTTTGTGTTTAAGTTTTTGTATAAATGTTTCGAAAACGTTTTCTTGAACGAAAATACTTCGTACTGACCAAGGTAGCTAAAAATGCTCGATTTTAGCTAAAAAATTTAAAATACATAACAATCCACCACCATTCCTGTGAACCCCCAAACACCATTGACCACTGCGTGACACGCTGAATCCAAGTCACAGTTATCAAAAATTATCATTGGAATACCCGACGAATAAAAATTGATCAGTTTTTTATTAAAATGGTTTGCAACTAAATATTTTTCTTTGTAGAGATCATCAAAAATAGAAACTACTGATACTTTAGGATGTATCAAAAATATGTTAGGGTCCACATCTCCCGGTATTAATCGAATTGTGTCTTCTGGTATTCTAAAATTGTGAGAAAAATGTAGTAAAAGTATAAATGGAAAAAATGATAACCAACCCCACTTGAATTGCAATCTCAATCAAAAAGGACGCCACTAAAGAAAGTTGCGGACCAGTCTGTAGGATTATATTGTAACCTGCTGCTAAACAAGGCCCCAATATGTAACCAAAGGTCGCTAACGAATTCACGTCTGATAAAATTGCCACCACTAAGCCTAAAAACAAAGATATTTAAAATTCGCGCATAAAGACTAATCAGGCACACCACTACTAACATACTAAAGTTACAAGAAATTATCAAATTTCGCCTAATCGAGGTGTAATTAAATTTAAACTGGTATTTCAGAACCGTAAAAACAAATATTAAAACCTTTTTCTACAAGCTCCTACACTCAAAATTGCATAACACTTTAAAATTGTGACAAAAAGTGAGGTTATGTCATCTGCTTTCGGATAAACGTGTCTGAAAAAAACCGCTTATTGTACTTACCCTCGGGTTTCCATGAAGAATTTCCCGAATTATATTTTAGACTGAAGCTGGAATAGTATTGCAAACAGTCGGTAAGTAGCGGCAAGACTTTTTTAGTGTCTTTACTAAGAATACCACGGATGGCAACTTCAAGTTGTGCAAATAAATTCTGTTTCTTGCAAATCTCACTCCCAAATCTAACAAATTAAGGTCGTTTTGAGTTTCTACTACATCTTGTCCAAGATACGTACTTATGAATTATTTCTGCCCGTTTAAATGGGACTATTTCAAACCATGCATTTTTTGCCTCTCCTAACTTCTTCAAAACGGCTTCCACTGTAGCTGCTTCAGGTACAAAAATGTTACATAAAGCCTCATCGTTGTTTACATTTTTAATTGATAAAGTTTCTCCATTTGGTGCTTCATCTTTTTTACCAATATGGAGAAATATGCGATTTTCTTTGCTCTTTAACCACTCCTTAAAACATGTTAATTCTGGACCATACAAACAAGTTTCAACTTACAGTCACTTCAGTAATGTTTTCAGAATCGTCTCCATAACTCATTGTTTCAAAAATTTGTCTTATTAAGCAATGTTTTGAGTCCCCAACATCACCCATTTTTCGCGATTAAAAGTTGAAATCGGTCAAAGCACTAATAGAACCTTATCATTATCAAGTACTGTTATCAAAACGCGTTTCAGCCGACAACACAACTCGAGCGAGAGAAGAGTAATTTAAAATGGTAATAAATCAGCTGATTGTTGTTTATTTTGAAAGTGCTCTGAATATCAATTAGTACGAAACTCATTAATTCAGGTAAAGACAAAATCACGTGGAAGACGCTACAAAATTTCAAGCATAGTTAATTTAATCCCCATCTAAGAGTTTGCAACTAAACAAAAATATTAATTTTTTCAGCAAAATCATTCAAAATGTTAAGTTTGGCGCGACATTGTCGCACCTCGATATTTTTGCCTGCGAAACAATTTGTAGCTGTTTCAAATAGGACTTTACCGAAAAATGGACTCATCAGGTCTTACACGACCCCAATTTGGAGGAGACAGCCCCTAAGAAATCTTGTCAACGTAAGTTAATATTACATTTTTCCCCCAAAAATACTTTCGTTATTCCAGCCGAGGAATTTCTTCAAATCTACCGGAGCAATCCTTATGAGACTGAATTCAAACATTCCTCAAAAAAGCAAAAAAAGTATAGGATACTGGCTGATGACATGCAGTGGAATGGTCTTTGTAGCTGTAGTTTTAGGTATAACGATTATTTATTACTCCATTCTTGTTAGTATTTGTACAGTGTTGGAGGAAGTTATCAAAAAAACCGTCAAATAATTATTGTGATGAAACATATTCTTAGTTATAAGCTAAATAAAATGATTAATCAATATTTCGACTTTTTTTCAAGTATTAATAAATTCATTATTCATTTAATTAATAATTATAGGAGTAATTAAAAAAACATAAAGATGAAAAATGTGTGTTTATAGGTGGTGTAACGCGATTAACTGAGTCAGGTTTGTCTATGGTTACGTGGAAATTGTTAGGAGAAAAAATGCCTCGGACGGATAAAGAGTGGGAAGAGGAGTTTGAAAAATACCAACAGTTTCCAGAATTTAAAATGTACGTATCCATTGACTTATTTTGGTTTCTAAAAGAAAAATGTGCAATTTTTAATCGACACATTTTCTTATAATTTTCTCCCTCTGCAAGACACGCAGATTGTAGCCCCCTGGCACCTACCCTTACTTGGCCTTTTGACATCATAACGAATCAGATTTATGTCAATTAAGTAATGGAATGTTTTTAATGCATTGTCGTTTCTCACTAGCGACTAAGGAACAAAAAGATTTCGTTATTGATAACAATCCATCCTAAAAATAATCCCTTTGCAGTAAAACCTATTAAATCTAAAAATACATGATAACAAATGTCAGCCAACTATAGGAAGAGACAATTGACTGACACTCGACCTTTGTCGTGGATAACTAAATTTTTCTCTTATCAAATTCCGAATTTTAGCAAAAATAGAGAAATGACCTTATCCGAATTCAAGTGGATATGGTACATGGAATTTGGGCACCGCATGTGGGGCCGCGCCATCGGCGCCGTTTTCCTAATCCCGGCTGTGTATTTCTGGGCCCGAGGCAGATTCACCCCGTCGATGAAAAAACGAGTGTTGGCTTTCGGTACCCTAATCGGCGCCCAAGGTTTGATGGGTTGGTACATGGTCAAATCGGGTCTTGAGGACCGGTTCCATGGCGAAAGTGACATACCTAGAGTATCGCAATATCGACTTGCCGCTCATCTTAGCCTTGCTTTTGTTTTATATACACTTTTCCTATGGTCCGGTCTAGACCAACTATTACCGGCCGAAACCATAACCATTGGTAGTAAAAAAGCCATAAAAGCAGCGAGAAAATTCAAAATGGTTGCGCATACTTGTAAAGGTTTAGTGTTTCTGACTGCAGTATCAGGTTGGTTGGTTGGTTGTTGGAAAAGATGAGATGTTTGATACCGAGTTTTAGGGGCTTTCGTGGCCGGTTTGGATGCCGGTCTAGTCTATAATTCTTTCCCCAAAATGGCAGATAAGTGGGTTCCGGATGATATTTTAGCGTTGGTGCCTGCTTTGAGCAATTTTACCGAAAATCCAACAACGGTTCAGTTTGACCACAGGATTTTGGGGACTACGACTTTGACTGCTATCACAGCTATGTATTTAATGTCACGACGGAGAGTTTTGCCACGAAGGGCTTATACAGCCGCTGCAGTTTTTGGAGCTTTGGCATGGTTGCAGGTAATGTGTGTGGCATCGATGTCTTGTATTTACTGCAGTGTTTATTTTTAGGTCGCTTTGGGGATAACAACGCTTTTAACGTATGTACCAACCGCTTTAGCTGCAAGTCACCAAAGCGGATCACTACTTTTGTTATCGTCGGCAGTATGGCTGACTCATGAACTCAAAAGGTTGCCTAAGTAGGTTACAAAAAACGTAGATGTAATGTAACAAACTTTTATTGTAAGGTTATTGATATTTGATTGATAATTAATATCGACACTACCATTTACTTTAAAACAAAATATATATATTTATATATCAATATCACGTGATCCACCATAAAACAAACTGTTAATTTTTATTATTATTATTTGGTGCGTATTTTCATAAAAAACACTTCTGGTTTCAAACTTATTGCGTTTTATTTACATTAAATTGCATAATCTCTTTATTGGTTTAGTTTTGACTATGTTTACATGGGGTTGATTGATCGAATAATAAACAACTTTAAATTTTTTTCCCCACCCCCCCAAGTAACATTATCAGCTACAGTCTTTTATCGTATTTTAATTAGTGAATATTACAGCCCGACTTGTTATTTATTCCTTGTTTTTAACTACACTGATATATGCGCCAATAAAAATTTTACGTGCAAATGAGAAAAGTGTCAACTTCATTCAAACTAACTTTTGATAGAAGCTTAAGAATTCGAGGTATTTTCAGTGTAGTCGATAATTTGTACTAAAGTGAAAAGATGTCGGACGGACTATCATTTTGACCAATAAATTCCAGATAATAACAAGTAGGGCCGGTTAAGTAAAATTGTTTGACACCGAGGTGTACAAAAATAGACTTTCCAGTCAACTTAATGACAGCTGATCTAACAAGTGATATTAGCAGTCATGGAATTAAAAAATCTTATTTATAAAAACTTACATAATATACAAAATATCAACATGTAAAGGAATGAATTCATACGTAAATCTTGTACGTCTTGGGTTACTTGCCAAAAAAGACATACGTCATTCATAAAAGTAAGAGACTTAAGACAAATTCATCCCATTCATCGCATAAAAAATTATAATATAGCAAATTAAATTATATAATACAAAAGCAAAGTCCAGTCGATAAAGCAGTGTAAATTCTAAACTGTACAATAACTAAAAACAATATGGTCAGTCAAAATAATATAAATGCATACAAGTTTTGACCTAAGATAAGCCTAAAATTTTTTCCGCATTCCTTTCAAGAACTGTATGCAAAAACGTGAGGCGAATAATTTAACTACTCTTTTACTTCAATATAAAAAAACTTCACTCTTAAATCAACCTCTAATGAATTCTATTATGATATGAATAGTCTTTTTCGTAACATCATGAAACACTGTATTTTTTGGTTCCAAGAAATAACTTTTTGTTTACCCACTTCTTCCAACAGGATTCTTCAGTAGTTGACAGTGAGGTTACTATGGGAGGAAAACAAACAACAAATCAATAAGCAATTTCTCATTGAAAAGTGACATGAAGGTTACTGGACTTAATCACTCAACATTTATTAAATATTCAAAATACCCACCCCCGCAATAATTACGGATTAGTTATTTATAGAAATCAAATTGGGACAATTATCGTATTAATGTAAAAATTAGTCACATAATTGAGAAATGTGATATTTTTGATTTAACAGGAATTTAAGATATTGAGTGAATCACCATGTATGGTAATATTTTAGACTTGTTACGTGCTGTTCCATTTAACAAATTGGATTAATCTGAATTAGACTTACCTAGAGTTCCTATAAAGGAACTTTAGACTTACCTAATCAATTTCATAAGGCTTGCTTAGAAACAGGCGAGGTTTCCATATTGACGATAACTTGAACAATGTAGCCAGAAGGTATTTTGGCTTCTTCTACATGCAATTTGTCACCCAACAACTTCCCGCCGAAAAACCACCTTTGCCTTGACGATTCAATACCTTCTTGACTCTAAACAAAAGAAAAACAATGACCTCTTCCAAATAAGTGACGCGGTCACCAACCTGTAACTTCTTTTTACACATACTAATAGTATCAGTCGAGTAAACTGCCAATTTAATGTCAGTACAATTGTGCGATAGTCTGAGTTTGAGCACGGTTTCGGTACCCCCGTCGACAGGTTCAGAGCATTCCGCCGGCGAGTCTCTCCCATTGTCTTCTTTGACAATATTAATCGGGTATGAAAGGCAATAAATGGGGACTTGATACCGTGCCCCCAGCTCGTCGTAGCACTCTGTGAGATACCCATTGGGCACGGAGACGCTAGCCCCGTCGAGTATAGCTTGGGCTAGCTCGTAGTCCATGGCTTCTGCGGCCACGGCGGCAGCCCTGAGCGCGTCCCAGATCTCCTTGCGGCCCTCAAAGGCGGGGGCCGTGTCCCAGAACTCATCCCTCTTGCTCCTCAGTTGGCCTTCGGTCAATGGCACGTCGGATTTCCAGCGTATAGTCTCATGGCACAATGGATGATTCTTACGCGTACTACCTAGGGTTCGCTTTTTACTTGGAGGAATTTTTCCAAGGTTAACGGGGATTACCTGAATTGGGTCTCGAGATGGACCCTGACGAATCGTCGATAGCACCGCTCCGAGAACGACTCACTCCTATGCATCCACCCATGATGAACACACCGCTAATTGCGGCATTTCATTGAAAATTGACACTAAAACAACAATTTTTTCGAAAAAACCTGCCATTTTACACCCATCATTCACACGGAACATTGACAACTGACAACTTTCAGCATGACGCACCGACAGCAAGCCAACAGGGGGCGCACCACTCCTTCCAATATTTTTTTAAGGACAAGGACAAGCGGCGCTTTACATTTAAATTTCATCATTAAAGACGAAATTTAATGACACGGAAAAATTAAACAATCATGGCTTAAACAACAACAGCAATGTATTTATTTTACACTTGACACAGTTTTTCAAATTGGTACACGTGTACCAATTTCTAGCAAAAATGTCCCTAGCATCACAAAAAACATAAACAATTTCTCATGCAATCTGTGTTATGTGGCAAGACCATAATTTTGTAATTATAATAAATATTTAATCGTAATCTGCAAACTATTTTGTGATCAAGTTATTAAAAAAAGTCAACCTGTTTTTTATTTCATATTCTAACATGTATCAGAGCCCATTATTACTCTTTAACCTCTAATGACTTCTACCGATAAACCTTGTATAGCTTTTAGTAAGGTTTCTGTTACTATCGGCCCTAATCAAAATTTATTTAGTTCGCTTGTGCTAAATAAAATATCAGGTAAATAGTTAGCTCTTATCAGATTGTAGCAAAAGCACTGGCGAAAGTATGCTGTTAAAAAAGTGACCTTTTATTTCATTCTGTTGTAATCGTATTTATAAACATGTTTTTATACAGAATTGAAAGAATTTAATCTGAAAAACGCATCTTTCAAATATGAAGTATATGTGGCACAGGTTGATACCAGTTTATATTTATAAAAGTGATTAAAATTTTTCCATTTCAGCCTGATTTATAAAAACCGGATTAGTCTTAGATTATTTAACAATATCTGCAGAAGTACATCTCTTTGTGTACAAAAACACAACGACAATAATAACAATGAACATGAGACCACTTTCTCACAGAGACTGTTTTTTGGGGCTTCTATTGCAACTCTGGTGGCTTACAAACTTTATGGTAATAATTTACAAGAGTAAGAGTCTTTTTTAAACATTTTTTTAGATTATAAGAAAAATTTAGCTTTTACTGAACAAGAGTCGTTACATGATATTAAGGCTGGAATTGCAAAGGAAGGTTTACCTTATTATTCTTTACAAGATGTATCTCAACACTGTAATAAGTAAGCATATTCATAAGCACATAACTCTTGCTCAAGCCAACATTAATAAAACTCCAAACATCCTACTTATTGTCTTATCAACTTTGCCTTAATAGCAAAGGAATGTTATCAAAACAATTATTTACTCACGTGGTTGATTGTTTTCAATTAACACAATCTAATTCTGCGATAATTATTAGCTAAACCTGGTTAAATATTTATTTACAATAAAATTTTAGGGATACTCGAATATGGGTGACTTACAAAGAGGGCGTTTACGATATTACAGACTTCATAGAGGGTCATCCGGGGGGCGACCAAATCTTGTTAGCTGCGGGCAGCTCAGTTGAGCCCTTTTGGATGTTGTATGCAGTTCACAACAATCCGCATGTTTGGGAAATACTAGAAACTCTAAGAATAGGTAAAAGACCCAATTTTTCTCCTTCATGAATAATTTGTTTCTGAAGGAAATGTGACCAAGGAGGATTCAGAAAAATTGACCGAAAACATGTCAGACCCCTATAGCACTGACCCTAAACGACATCCAGTACTAAACCCCGCCTCTGTCAAACCCTTCAATGCCGAAACTCCACCTTTTCTTCTTGTACAACAATTTATCACACCTAAGTGAGTCTTGCGCAATTATCGAAATATATTTTGTTTATCTCAGTGAACTGTTTTATGTTCGCAATCATCTTCCGGTGCCTAATATAGACCCAGAGACTTATGAGTTAGAAATTGAAATTGAGGGAAAAAATAAAACCCTTACTTTTACATTAGACGAGTTAAAAAAATTACCTAGACACACTATCACAGCTACGATTATGTGTGCGGGGAATAGACGAAGCGAAATGACTAAAGTAAAACCAGTCAAGGGGTTAGGTTGGGGGGCCGCAGCTATCGGAAACGCAACTTGGACGGGGGTGCGATTGAGGGACATTCTAGCGATGGCAGGGGTCGATGAAGATAACACCACTTATAAACACGTACAAGTAATTTAACAATGAGTTGTATATTTTTTTCTAAAAAAAATAGTTCGAAGGGATTGATTTTGACCCAACTGGAAAAACATATGGGGCTTCTATTCCCTTTTGGAAAGCAACAAGTAAAAGAGGCGATGTTATTCTAGCATATGAAATGAACGGAATGCCTATACCTAGAGATCACGGATTCCCAATCAGAGTAATAGTTCCAGGGATTGTGGGGGCGCGAAATGTCAAATGGCTTGGTTTCAACTTGTAATTCGTCCCCTTTCACTTTTTATAATCTGTTGATTACAGGAAGAATTATAGTGTCAGAAAAAGAAAGTGATTCACATTGGCAACAAAACGATTATAAAGGCTTTTCGCCAAGCACAGACTGGGATACTGTCGATTTTACAAAGTCACCCGCTATCCAAGAATTACCGGTGATTTCAGCTATTTGTCAACCCTCAGAGGGTGAAACTGTCCAGCTTGAGGATGGTCAAATTTTAGTTAAAGGTTTACATGAAAACAGTTTTTTGGTTGTTATTTATTTTCTTCAAATAGGTTACGCCTGGTCTGGAGGGGGCCAAAAAATAGTTCGAGTTGATGTAACAATTGACGAGGGAAACAGTTGGCATGTGGCTAATCTAGATCACCAAGATTCAGCAGACCCGCCTCAGCATTGGAGTTGGACTTTATGGTCGGTTCGAATTCCGGTTAAACCGGGAACAAAAAGCGTAAGCAACGTACTTTTGTTTATTTAATTTGTTAATGGTGAAAATTCCAGGTCCAAATATGGGCCAAAGCTGTTGATTCCTGCTACAACACTCAACCTGAATCATTCAAAAACATCTGGAATCTCCGCGGAGTCCTCAGCAACGCCTACCATAGGTTAACAGTGAAGTTGCAGTAAAACTATGTTTTTTAAAAGAAAATAAATATTTTTGAGCTTTACTACTGTTAATGTTAAATAATGTATAAGAACATCATACAACAAAATAAACTGTTTGAATTTTTCTTGGGGTTTATTTGTGTAGGCTTTGAAATAGAGTATTGTTCGTGTTTGATGCCCCATTTAATTCGTTCTACATGTAATTAAATGCTTGTTTTACAATTTGTAAAACAATCAAATTTCATTTCACTGCTTTTAGTGATTGTAATGAGTAATGACAGTTTTCGGTTCATGAAAATTATGCATTTTATTAGCTTGTGATTAATTTTCACTAGGAGTTTTTTTCATCTTTAAATTCACACTTGCGATAAACGATGACAAAGTATTTTGTCGTGTATTTGGGTGAGTGATTACGTTTTACTTTGTGATTATTTTTGTTTCAGCGATTTTCCTAGCTGGGTTTCAAACAATTAATTGCGAATGTCCCGTGTGTAACATAAATGATTACAATCCGGTTTGTTCTTCAGGAAAGGCGTTCAAAAGTGAATGCCATCTTTTATCACTACATTGTTCAAAACGTGTGGGTAAGTATTTTGGTTCCTGAACTTTGACCCGAATATTTTTACTTCACACAACTCATAGAAAGGGTTATTTATACACTTGACTTTCCACTTTTAGTTCTGACGAGTCCTGTCTTTGGAACATGTCTTCAGTTACATATTCCGATACCAAACGTTCCAAGTCGTCCAAATTAGAGGTCCCAGTGATAAAAATAAATAATTAAAGCTAACGTTTTACTTTTATTAATTTCAATTACAACAATATAGATAATTATATTCATGATAATATAGCGGAAACAAAATATATACACGTTTCTAGTCCCATAATAACAGTTAAAATCGTGCCCCATATAAACATTAGTGACTTATATTTTCAGTTCTTAGCTAGATATTTTTTGGAATAAAAAAAGTATCAAAAACTGAATAAAATCAGTAAATGGAATAATTACACCTACACGACACTGATATAAGAAGAAGTATTAACGACCAGTTTTTGATGAAACTGTCTTACATTTAAGACTGATTAGGATGCAAAGATGCATAAATTGGGGCTGCTTTCGATTTAGCAAGTTCTGATGCATTCTTTGCAGCATCTTTCAGTTTACTGGATGCTGTTACAGTGGCATGGGTTGTTGTAACAGTGCTTTGCAGTGGAAACATGTTTGATAAGACATGGTTAAATCCACCCACCTATAATTTTTCATATACCTTCTGTGTGACCATCTTGGTAACACTTACCATTTTAGAGCAATTCTTTTTGAACCTTTCGTAACCAAATGCACAAATTGCTCTACTGAAACCTCTGACTTGGGAATCAATCCATGCTGATCTCACTGCTATGGTTTTCCCAGGTTGCTCATCACTTTGGTGGTACACAACCTTTTCTGTGACACTCTGAAAAAACTTCTGTATTTTGTATCAAATTGTAATCAAGGACACAAACCATGACTTTAGTGTACCCGAGGTTCCTAGTATATGTAATAAAGACTTTATTCACTGGATCAACAATCGACTCTTCGATAATATGGACATGTTTGGACGTGATAAACCTTTCTGCCCACTTTGGAATTGGGTTAGTTTTGCTGAGTAACCTTATGGAAAATAATCGCCCTGAACGAACATCACGACAAACTGTATCTTCAGTTAACACATGTTTGCTACAATTCACAGAATTATAAAAGTTTTAAATTGAAAGCAACCTACCTGTTGGGATTTGGATATCGTTTCCAAAAGCCTTGAGCCACTTGGTCCCAGGTGTAGTTAAATATCGTGGTTTGCTCAAAAAACCTGGTCATAGTTGTGGAATTTTCAGAATGATTTATGTAACAGTCGGAATGGAAAAGTTAGCGACATTTCATGCAGTTTAGATTTAAAACATTAAAAATATTCCCCTCATATTAGTCACTCGCTTATTTAAAACACCTGTGTAAGACCGCACTTTGTAAACTGTCAATTTTGTGACATAACCTTATAGGGAATTTTGTAAACAAACTGGAAAGTGACAGGAATCATGACAAAACTCACGGAATTCAATTGTTTGATTGTTAAATGAGGAAACGCCGGTTTGCTGACTTTTGGTGGGAAAAGTTTTAAATATAATTTTTGGAAAATTTTCAAAACAAAAATTTATAGGTGTTACACATTTTTAAACTTGCGAGTGCCAGTAATGAAATACACGGTCCCATGGTGTAATGGTTAGCACTCTGGACTCTGAATCCAGCGATCCGAGTTCAAATCTCGGTGGGACCTGTAATGATTTTCTTTTTTTTTAACAATAAAGAAAGTTTTGAATACTTTTTTCAGTGCATTATTACAACTATATTGTTTATAAAACTGATAAAAAATGATTACAAGTACATAATTTGACGCAGTTTATAATGTTGATAATATTGAATTCCATGTTTAAAATTAGAATTTAGGTCAAAATTGATAACAGTGCGATAAAAATAAGATGTTTATTTATTGTTTTTAACTTTTTCCATGACAACGTATAGAAAGCTTCCTTTTTCAGCAAGCCCGGGTAGCTCAGTCGGTAGAGCATTGGACTTTTAATCCAAGGGTCCAGGGTTCAAGTCCCTGCTCGGGCGGCCAACTTTTTTATGAATATTTTTAAAACAAAACTTTAATTTTAAGTAATTTTATTTACACCATGTTTTTAATTATTAGGTTAATTTAATGTTTGTAAAACAGTTTTGCATCTATTATTTATTATTTATTTATTTATTTTATTTATATTTACATTTATCCAAGTGGAAGATAAAATTTCAAAGTGGAACCCATTTTAATACCTGAGTTCGACTTTGAAATACTCAAATACCTTCCATTTACAATAAAAAAATGAGGCCCACTTTGAATTTGAAGAATCTTCACAACCTTATTATTTAAATTTTCTGTAAGAACTTGACAGTTCGTTGTTTTAACAATTACAATACAAAAAAAACAAAAACTTTACAAAAAAGGAAAAAATCAAAGGGTAGTAATAAAGCGATCAGTAAATAATTAAATTTTGATCAGTATAAAATAATAAATGATCAGTATTTAATCCATTTTTGCACAGTAAAAATAATAAATGCTAAGAAAAGCACGCATAGTATTCTACTGCACAGTAAAAATAATAAACGCTCAGTAACTTTAATCAAAATTTAAAGAATTTTCAGTCTTGGTTACATAACAATGTATGGCCTCTGCGCAAGAATGTTATTTTTTATTGGTACCTATTGTTATATTACTGAATATTTATTATTATTGGAGGGTGGTAAATGTATTAGCAAGGGCCCCTGCGCAAGAATGATTTTAACATGGGCTGAAAATGTGCACAAATGGTTATCAGTCTAATCAGGGTACGCCACTCTTTGCACTGCTGTGATCCTGATACCACAATTTTGTTTTTGCGTTATATTAAATTATTATATTAAATTAGTTAGTTTTGCTAGACACTTATTCATTGTCTTTACTGTGCATTTATTATTTGTACTGTGCATTTATTATTTTTACTGATCAAAAATACTTGTCGTTTAAGTAATATTTAATTTGTTCCCAAAATCAAAGTTTGTAGCATATTATAATTACCTTTTAATAAATTTTTGGATGGGACAATTTGTATAACAATTTAGTGAATAAAAAACATAACGGAAACACAATAACCAGAAATTTATTTGCGATTTCCAACTACCTACTGTAATTTCACAGTTATGATCCTTTAAAACACCGGAAAGTTTGAATAAAGGTCTTTTCATTTATAAGATTACTGCAACGGTTTTTGTTATTATTTCTTTCGTTAGATTTTGCGACAAACTGTTGACCAGCGTGTACAACTTAGAGAATCAACTTGACCTAGTTCATTAAGATGGGATGTAACAAGAAGAGCCTAAGTTAACCCCTGTGGACTTGAAAGTCTACATTAGTTTAGAGTCAGACATTACATCGCAACCACAAAAGCAGTCGATAATAAAGCTGAACCAACCAAACGCCACTAATAGATTCTCAATTTTTCGTGCATTCCTCGCTGTGTATTTTATTAATATGATTTTGAACGTTGAAAAAACCAAATATATGGTTCAGTCGCATAGAAGTTTTTAATATTTTACCCCTCTTGCCAGTCTTCCCGAATATATTTTCCAAATATACTTTTGATAGATTCAGAAAACATTTTACATGCGTCTCATGGATAAAATCTCAATGGCATTCTAACCACCTCCAATTTTAAAATATTTGATCTGAATCTAAAGTAAACTTTCGAAATCGTTCCACACCATCTCGTACATTTGTGTTTCAAGAAAAATATTCTTATTTCTTGTTGCAATTAAAGGAACGATGAATTTTACTGAAATAATGCGGATGAGTGAAATAAATGACCGGAGTGTTCCAGCTTGATTTACGAGTGGTCAGTGCATGTAGGACACTTCCGGTTCAGCGTTTTCCTTTTAGGATAGATTGAGTGGTCACCCTTTACATGTTATAGATGAAACTCCGGCTTGACTGTTGAGGTAGGCTATTCCGGCCGAAATAACGTTTCAGCACGTTCAGCTCCCTTCAAATGTACATTCTTAATTTGGAAACTCAAGAAAATTACCTTTTGAAACTTCCACCAACACTTGTCAACTTTTTCATGAATATTAGAACAGATATGGATTGTGGCCGTCCGCAGCGTCTCAGTTTCATAATAACTAATTACAGTTTCTAGTTTTGAGGTAAATATTTGCCTTTGTTAGCATCGAATTGTGATATTATTTGATGCTAAGTTTCTAATTAATATTAAAACATAGGTATTCATAGATTTCACCGTATGATCTCACTATGATTGCACTGAAGTAAATTACTTCTTGAATATTAAAAGCGCACTTTAAACGACTAAGTTTTTTTGTGGCGTGATAATAAACCAGAGGAAGAGAATGCATATTACCAAGAGGGAAGCAATTTAATTTAAAATACAAAATTTTATTTTAAAATTTCTTTTTGTTTTCTTACTACTACATTAAAACTTTTTCTCATTTTCTCTACCTAAAAAGTTGCAAATTGTAATTATACTGATGAGCAATTTTTTTATCCAATTTATTTAACTTTGCCGAGGGGTATAAGACCTAAGAGATTAATAAATTACGCAAAATTTATTCGATTTCTGAGACCCGTCTGAAATCTAATACTCGTAGTACATATAAAAATTTAATGTATATGTCGTAGGATAATTGTAAATACGATAAAACGCCTAGTCATTTTGAAAACGTTTTTACAATATTACGGAAAATTTTAGGCGTATTGTAAAATGTTTTTAAATTATCGCCATTTAGAAAATCACTGGTTAAATTCAGTCGTTTTGTAAAAGACTGAAAAATATTATTTTATAAGATACCAATTTCTATTGTAGTTAGATAATCTATTAAAAAAAAACAAAATCTCAAATGTGAAACGTTTTTAATCAATATAAAAAAGAAACATATTTCAAGAAAACAAATAATTTTTTTTTTAATTTTATCGTACAGTTGCGGAATTAAAATTTGGGGTAGTATTGTCATTTTTATAATGTAAACTGTGAAACAACCTTTACATTAATAACCTCATTTTTTACTCTTGTCATGTTTATGTCATTTTGATTTATTTACTTTCAAAAATATTGATTTGTGGCATAATAACGGGTAGGCAGCAGATCAAAGCGATGAATTAATTACACTTAGTTCAATAAATTTCCTAAGACAGACAAATTGTTTAATTAACAATTTTAATACAAAAATAAAAGTTTAATTGTCAAATGTCAATCATGATGGCGGTAAGAGGTAGTTTACACTGAACTTTTTAAAGTTAATCTGTGACGCAGGTTTGTTTCAGTCGTATTATAAATGAACCATACGTACTTTATAATAAGACGAAAACTTATTAGGCTTTTTATAATACGCCTAAAATTTTCCGTCATATTGTAAAAACCTTGCATTTATTCATTCATTTACATACATTTACACTTGAGTGCAAAAAAACGCAAATTGATTTTTTTTATAATGTAATTTGGCTTGTTAATAAATGTTAGTTTTTGACGTTGTCTTTGTCACAATTCACAATTTCATAATTGTCAGGCATCTTCCAAACTTCTATCAAGTTTTTCCACGTTTTTCCATTTCGTTTTTAACACTGACTATACTGCACTGGCAAGACCACCAAAACGACATTTCTGTTGATAGTTTTCTAACCTTTTTGGAAATAACCTTTTTCACACTGAAAAATTTGACAATTTTGTTTTTGACAATTTGCGTTTTTTTTCACTCAAGTGTACAGGGTGCTGCATTTTGGATGTCCGAATAGGGAATCGCCGAAACTAAAAGGTTTAGACAAAAACGAGTAGGCACTTTTTTACGTAGAATTTAATAATGTAATAATATATTCAACCAGTGTCACTAATGAAAGAGTTTTCTAAGTACTAAGTAATAAAAAAAATGCAAAATAAATTGTAAATCAACTTATTGGCGACTAATAACATTTCTTTGTTTTTAAACAAGCTAACATTACCATTGCAACTTCTAGTGATACATAGAGTGTTGTAAAAAAGCCGCTTTAATTCTTCAATAAAATATGTTTTAAATGACACAAAAATGACGATATGGCTATTCAAATACCCAAATTCCGTCTATGTGAAACGTTATCCTACCTCCATCAGATCATCAAAAAAATGTTTTTCTAATTGTGTTGACTGTTGACACATTTATTTTACCTATTTTTGGATTTTTTAAAAATATGTAATATTTTTTTCTGAGGCGCTCGCATTTTTGTTCAATGCTTCTACCGTATCGTATTTTTTAAATTTTTGTATCTATTTTTTCATCTATTTTACAGTTCACAAAACTCTTATTAATTGTTATTTACACATTTGGAGTGAAATAGTTTTTCCATGGCCAACTATTATAAACAAAATATGTATTTCACTTTTTAAATATAGTTATAAAAAAATATTCTGTTACAAATATATATTTTTTAGATCAGAAAAAAAAAACTTTTCAAAATTGCCAAAGCCGCCTATGATTTCCATTAAAAAAAATACAAGTTTATCTTATTACGGCTAAACTAATGACTGAAAAAAATTGTTAACTACATTATTAAATTCCTCGTAAAAAAGTGCTTGTATAATATCTTTATTTCAAATCCGTGTCTTCTATAATAACGAAGATATGATTTTTTTTACATTTCGCCAAAATGTCAACTTTTGTCTGTAAGTCGAAAACAAAAGACGATAGCGCGATGCGGTTTTAACCAATATTATTTTCTCAAAAAATGAGCCCCAGAATGTATCACTGGTTTTTGGCTAAACATCTTAGATTCGGAGATTCTCTATTCGGACATCCAAAATACAGCACCCTGTACATGTCTACATAAATTGATTTTTTACTCATTATTATTTGTTAAGTGAAAAAGTCATATTTTGTAATTATTGAAACTACATAAATGTGCTTAATATTAAAATTTAAAACATCTAATCATGATGATATGGAGTTATCCATATGAAAGCACACTTACACGTATAGCAGGAGTTATTTGAATATTTACGAGTTCATGGTCTTTTTTAAAATAATATGTTTCTATTTAGCATTAGCAATTAGCAACTAGAACTTTGTAGAACATTTACTATAATATTAACTTCGTTATTTTGTTTATTTAATGTTCTTATTATAATGTATCTTTTAATGACAATCGTCATTTTTTGTCACATACAGGGTGTTTCATACTCGCGCTCTAGAGAAAAATACTAATTAAGATACCAAAAACATGTTTAAAAAAATCTGGCAAAAAATTTTACAGAGAACATACCTAACTTTTTAGGATACTGAATTGGTAACTATCGTTTACATAGTTACAAACGAGTCTGGTAGATAAAATTTATTGCGGCCTAGTTGGTAGTACTCTAGCCTACCGGACTTGTTTGTAACTATGTAAATTATAGTAAACGCTAGTTAAATTTTTGTTTTCATGATTTTTTTCTTAACTTAAAAGTGTTCTTTGCAGTATTCTAAAAAATCTTATACAATATTCAACCGGTAGCATTTTTATGACCTTGCTAAACATACAGATCTCGCCATACGGTACTGGCGATGGTGCGGCCATAAAAATGCTGCTACCGTAAATAGCTATAAAAATAAAAATGAATGAAATTAAGGTTTCTTAAAGTCGACTTAAAATAACAAGCATAGCAAAGCAAATTTTCAAAAATGAAAACCGAGATAAAAACTTTAAGTAAAATTCTTCAAATCGGTAAGTTTTCGAGGGGTAAAATCCGTTCAGATTTTATCCGTTCCAAAATATCAACTATTTTAAAAATTTCATTATTGTTATCTTGAAAAAATGAATTGTCAAGGTCCGTTTCTTAAAAAAAATTAAACTTAATCGCCTTTTGCTGTGGATTCGATGAAAAACCATAATTTTATTCATTAAATGAATTGAGAAAAAAGCACCGTTTCTAGTAAAAATTAAGTACATAAGGATGAAAATTACCTTTTTTCAATTTCTTCACACATAGCTCCAGAAGTACAGTTAAAAAAAATAATACAATTTTTTACGCGTTCATGCTACTAAAACTGATATTTCTAGCTTTTGACATTGAAAAATGAAATTTATGTGTTACTGAATATTTATAACGTAATAAAAAAAAAGAAAAACGTGCATTTCTTCAAATAATATTTTCATAAGGTGGAACAGTTAATTGCATAAAACTCAAAATTTAGTTTTATTTTGTACCTACTAATTATAATTATTATAATTGTAAAAAAGATCATAGTTGGCCGATGCTTTTGAAACTTGGTATAGTTGGTTTTGAAACTTGGTATAGTTGGTATAGGTTTTGAAAATTGTTTAGGATGCTGATTCTAAACAATTTTTTAAATAACTTTTTGTCGTATTTGTCACAATAAAAAGCACTTTACTCTATAGTAATAGTTATTTTTGTTACAAGTACCTAAAATACAGTTTTTGCCGACGAATCGTTGCTGACGAGGTGAAGCCGAGTCGTTTTAGGTACGTGTTACAAACAACAAATTTTGTTTAAAGCTTCCAAAAAATCTCATTCATATCTCTTATTAATTAGGAGAAAAAACTATTTTTGGGAACTGAGTACCTAAAATAACCAGTTTACGTACTATTTCATCGAGTTCGAAAAAGACTCATTTTAAGGACTCAAATGAGTCTTTAAAACAGCTACTTTCGGAAGCATATACAAAAAAAAAATAGTTTTTTTGAAAATTCCCAAAATATACATAACTTTTTAAAATTACGTTAGAAACTAGTCTTTAACCAAGCAGGGCTGATCACCAAAAAATGAAAATTTAAATCGATATTTTTTGTCTTTTACAAGAGTCGAGCACTCACTGTATAATAATTAATTAACTTTACTAATGTGTTTATTTTACTGTTTTTTTTCCTATTTATCACTGTAGCTTTATACAAATAGGTGCATACATCTAGTGTCCTTAATCTTGCAGATGAATTTGTCCTCTTTTGCATGACTGTATAAATATGCTTTAAGTGTTATTTAATGAAACGGTACTTTCAAAATGAGACCATTGAACAGAAGGTCAACTGTCAACTATGTTATATACTTATTCGTAAATCGCCAGTTCCAAAAAAAATATATATATTGAAAACGATTGCAAGATCTTTAACTTTGACTCCAATTTGATAATGTGGTTTGATAATTTTCTTATAATACAATGAATAAACAAAATTGCAAATTCATTCGTAAATATTCGTAGATGACCGTAACTTGTCTGGAAAGCTCTGTATAAGATCAAGTACTACCTGGAAAGGTGGGCTAATTGTGGTACAGATACTTCTTCCAAATTTTTTGTTTTTTGGACTTAATAAACACAACAAAACAACAGAGATTGTGTTAATTTCTTACAAACAATACAATTTCTTGTAAGTCTGTTTTTAGATGATAAGTTTATAAAAATAAATTATGTATCTCATTTTAAGAGTTTGTTTCTGTTGTATATTTGATAAGTTTTCCTGCTTCTATTTATGGAACCTTTCACTTAGGTATTATCTCGACTCGCTATTCCCGTGAGTTTAGTCAACCAACACACCATTACAATCTAACTGCCTCATTCTCGCAATCTTGGTAATATTCTCCAGAGTTACGTTGGAGCTGGTCCCCTCTTCTGCCGGTTACACCATTCTTTTCTTCGGTAGTCAGCCGTGGCAGTTTGTGTTCAATGGTCGAGTTCAAAGAAATGTAAAGTGCCGGCAGTGTATATAAATTTTTACTACTAGCTATTGATAAAAGCTAATGTGGTAATAATTACAGTGCTGTGTAGTTGCGGTGTAGTGATGATAAAGAGGAATATTTTTGGCATTTTTAATTGGAATTACCGATTGCGAATAGTTGAAGGTTTGTCTCGTTATTTTAAGAATGCATTAGTTAATTAGCATGCGGCCTTTAGCAATTTCTTTCGAGGTAACAAGTGGTACCGTTGAAATAGGAGTGACTTCCACTATTTGACCTTTCGCAGGTATGCGCGGGCGTTCTCGAACGCGAGGTAGTACCCAGGTGCAGCAGGTTGAGCTTTAGCTTTGAATATTTTCGTTCCAAAGTGTTGTAAAACGATAGAGGGCTGCATTTTGCGTTTATTTTATGAAGTTGTCTACCCACCAACGAGCAAAGTTTCAGCATTAAAAGAGGGAACACATTAGAAACGTGCCGAGTTTAATTTCTTGTTTGTTTACTCCCGTTGTAAATATTCGACGGGAAGTACTCAAAAACTTTTGTGTGGATTTTCGTAACTCGGATGTGACGATATTAATTTTCATGACTAGAGTACACTTGAGGGAGTGTTTAATGCAAAAGTTGCACAATATCAAACCAGATTTTGAGTTTCCCTTGTCTGGCGTAAATTTGTGGTCTATGCCTATTTAACACAGTTAGATATTGTGTCAAAGGGATGAAAAATAAATCAATAATTGAAGCGGCTCGGTTTCGCAACTAATTTAATATGCAAATTCCGGTAAATTATAGTTATAATTTACTTATTAAATGCATGCCACCCTTCATGGGGATAATTTGCCAACAAGGGAATAAGGGGTGTATCAATTAAGTTTTGATTTATGATGCAAGTTTAACGGCGTGTACATGTTGCTTACGGTTTCGCGATCACCAAAACGATTCTGTTTACACTATCTGAAAATCGTTAATTTGTTCAACTGCTGTCTTCTAGTTCACATGAAATTGATTCAAAACGGGATAACGCGATGCTTAAAATAAATCATCGCATAAGGCTCGAGGTGTGTTGTGAATATAAACAGTTGCGTTATACAAAATTTGGGAAAATGCACGTATCAATTAAAAATAAAATCCGGATGCATCTGTGTTCGGAATAAAAAACTTTTGTGCTTCGTGAATGGGTTGGTACATTAATAGTAAAAGTAGAAAAATGAAAACGGACATATACAATAGCTTGGATACAAAGGAGCTTACCGAAATTGCTATTAAAGGTTTACTACAAAATGTATCAAAAATAAGAGAAAAAAACCTATTTTTTCACTAAACAATAACTCAGTTCAATGGCTTGGAAAAATAATAATAGTATGTATTAAAATCCATAATAAATGTAATACGTTGTTCAAAACAGATAAATTCATCAGGTTTTAAACGATTTTTTCTAAATGACGAATATTATTTCAGTAAACAATGAAATACCAGCAAATACAAGCAGTACATTAACATTCTCGTGTCTACTCGAAAAAGCTGCAGTTTTAAAAAGTTTTTTGCTTAATTTATTATAAAATTTCTGATTTAGTTTTTTTTATTATTTCTAATACCACAGTTTCATAATAAAAATTACAAAAAGAACCAATTGTGTTACTAGGTATTTTGTGAATTCTAGACGGATCATTAACTTCGAGGGTGCTGATGTTCTTTCTCGCATAGGAATTTTTATTGATATAACGATATTTAGGGTTTCGAGTTGGAATGTCTATCTCACATGGTTATTAATCCAATATGGCCAAGAAAACTTGTTGGCGCAGACATTAAAATTGAGCCAGCAAGTTGTTTAGCAAAAACAAAGTCATTTCCGTACTTGCATTAACTCACAAGTATTTTCATTATCAATTTAATTTTTATTTCATGTAGGTACAGGGTGATTTTAACAGTAATGCAGAAATTTAAGAATTTAAGAAAATAACAACTTACTTTATCCGAATGTTTACTGTTTCTTAGATATAAAGGGTTAGAGTTGGAAAATTCGCAATGTAAACAAAGTTTGTATCTTTTGGGTACTTTATTACATAAAAAGACTATGCCTTTTGGATAATGAAATTCAGTGGTATCTTCTACGAAAAAATTTAATGCAAAATTTTTACCTTTTTATTATTTGTTTTAATGTGAGGTCACATTTTCTGTGGCTGTTTTTGCTAATTTTAACTCACTTTTTAATAAATACACTCTAAAAGATGATTTATTATAATTACTATTTTTTACAATTTTTGTTGGTGAAGTTTAAGGCTGTACGCAAAATTTGAATTTGTTCCGCGACTAAAACCCCCAATATCTCAGAAACTATATTTGGACAGGGCAATTTGAGTTATTTTTGCTTCTTTTGTTTTCTGCTACATATCTTATTTTTAAATTTTTGCACAACTATTAAAATCACCCTAAAGGTGTTCCGTTTTTATCGTTATAAACGACTAAAAGATTTTTTTTAGTTTAAGTATGTAATTCTCTTACATAAATATATGTTTATAGGATACTTTTGTCTTAAAATTGAATATTCTATCACCGGTTTAAACTTGTAGCAATAAAAACGGAACACCTGTATAATACCAATACTAACAAGATATTTTTTTTTAATTCTCTGACTTTCATAACACATTACATAACAACAACGACAGTTTTTAATGTTAGGTACTTAGTCATTTTTTGTTTGTAGCTTTGTAATCTCTATGTATGACCTAGGAACCTTTTAGGATATTACATTTTGCAAGCTTTTGAAGTAAACTTAATTACATTTTTTTTAATTAAATAGGACGTGTTTTTCTGTGAAAAAACACTACTTGTATCTTTTCGTAAATTTTAAGTCGAATTATTGGCTTTGTAGTAAGGTTACGTGAGATCGTTTTAGTGATTATATGAGTGTTCAAGGGGAAATGCAAATCTTCAAAATAGGCTTTTTGTATTGACTATACAGTTAAGGCCAACCTTTCAATATTTATTTGCCTCTCCCCATTTCCCCTTTCGATTTGCTATTCTCATCGTAAATACCTCGGCTTTTATCCGCTTCTAGTTCCATTTCCTTTGCGTTGTTAAAACGTGTGATACGAAACCCACACGTTTTGCTCGTTTTTCTAACAATATCTTATTAGCAAAGTTTTCCAGTAAGTTGTCTAAAATATTCACTTTACCAAGAGAAACTTTTTAACGAAAATAAATTTAATAGCAGCCGGAAAATCTAATTCCTGCTACGTGGGACGTAATTCCAACTTACTTTAAACAAAATAAATGCAATATAGGTTTTCACACAGCTACGTGGACGTGTTGTGTCTATTCTGAAATTCTGTTTAAGTGCTAAATTGAAATATTATTCAAATCTCCAAATCAAACTTTGAAAACACACTAAATATGGAAATTCACGTTTCAAATCAGCCGACAAAATTCAGTTTTAGACTTCCCAACAAAACATAAATTCTTGACATGTGGAACACTTTATGTAAACAAAATCAACGCATTATTTGATTTTTTTAAAAAGCTATTTTTCAATTTGTCGATTATGACAATTTATTTGCGTATTTTTCTAATAAATCTACCCTTGCATAAGACAGAAAGAATATAAAACTAAATTTATAGACGCATTTAATGCCGTACACAAACTGAGATTTTTTTTAAAGAACGTTAAACGCCGTTATGACCTTTCCCTACAAGAGTAAATGCAAAGTTCTATTAGATGGAAAAAATAGAATATGAACTAAGTGAAAAAACGTATTTTTCCAGCTGTTTGACGAATTAAACGAAAACCGGAAATATCCCAGAGTTTTTCACGGAGTTCAATAAATTCCGGTAGGCATATTACATTCTGTCTGTCATATGATATAGGTGAAGGAAATTTAAAAGAATCCATTCACTTATTTTACATTAAATCAGCTTTACTTAATATTTATAAACGAGAAACAATTAGCATTAAAGCTCGACATAAATCTCCTTCACTAACATGTTTTTTCCATTAGCACATGAACAGAGCTTTGGTCACTTGTTGGCAAAAAAAATGTACAATGCCGTACGGATTAGTTCATGAATACTATTGAACGTTGTTGTTCTATTTCGGATTAATGAGTCAGTTAACGAAATTAAAACATCAAAATGTAATCTGTGTTTAATTGTTCTGTGTTATTAAATACAAGTTGTTGTCATAGTTTACATCATGAGAACGATGAGAAAATTATGTAAGGTTGTGTGAATTTATTATAATCTGAGAAGAGAAACTTAGACACTTTTATGCTGAAAATATTCACACTTGATTGCAGCAGAAATCATTAACTTTGTTGCAGATATTGATTTTTGTGTATAATGCAGATACAATCTAATTGGAAAGCTTTCTAGGTTTGGAAAAGCGAAAAAAACTATTCTTGATGCAATTATAAAATAAATGAAAAGTCACTATTGTAATAAGATCAGATCCAGTGGAATATCAATTGTTTTTATTGTGTAACAATAACAAACAAATAAGTAACTGATTGTTAAAATGATTTTGCGTTTTCAATTGTAAGTACATATGTTATTTCAACAAATAATGGTACTTGTATTTGTCTTATAAAATGTTGTATTGTTTTGTTTGAAAACATATTTGGTTGTTGTCAAATTTGAAAAAAAAATATTATACCTACTCGTTAATGAATCGAAACAAATGCTATATTTTCCTCTAAGTTGTATATTTTACTTAAATTAATTGGATGTTGTTGGATTTAGGATAAATTGTGTTTACACTGTACGGATATTTATTATTTCGTTGCTTTGTTTTAGATTAAAGATTATCGAATCCGAGATTCATAATGTAATATTTTTATTTATTATTTCAATGAGTGTTGTAATGTAAAACTTTTTTTTTATCATATCTTGAAAAATTATATAAAACTGGCATCAAATTAAAATTTTAATTAGATAGTTTAATTAGTTTCTTTCAATTCAAAAAGTTATTGTGTTAATTAATTTTAGAGTATTGTTTTAAACAATAGGTATCTTCTAGTTGTTATTTTTTTTTTTTTTCATATTTACCTACATGTAGAATAACAGTATTCCGCAGTTTGAAAGAGAGCTTTTACTGCGCAAGGTTGGAATTGTAATTGGATTTATTGTTTGTTCCATCAGGAAAATCAAAATGAAACGGTAAATTTAGTCACAAT